GGCCAGGGAGGGTGAAAGTTATGTTTATGGCAGCTCCATGCCTTGTACATCCATCAGAATGAAGATGAATCTTTTCAGAAATTATGATATAAATGGAACTGATATTTACAATTTTCAGAACACTTCTTTTGAAATATAAGAATACCTCTCTCTTTATTTTTCAATCAGTTGATTGGTCTTTTAATCAAGTATTCCCTTTCTGAGTTAAAGCACCTGAGCAGGTTTAAGGAATAGTGTGCAAAATCTGAAACAAAGGTCCTGTTTTGTCTGTGAAACACTTTTTTGGATTCATTGACTGCTCCCCCACCCCGAAAGCTTTGCAGCTAAGAGTCAGTTCTGAATCCGCTTTATAGAGTAGCTTCTTTTACAGGGTCTCGTATAATTACATCTGCCCGCTGCCCCAGCTGCTCCCTAATAGCTCTGCTTGGCTTCAGTGAAAATGGCTCATCTCTGCTCCCTGGAGACCTTTAAATAAAAGATCTGTGTGTCCATGTGTGGGGATGAGGCATGAGAGGATGAAGGGATGAGGAACTGGCTTCGGGTTTTTTTTTCTTCTTTAATTTTCGGCCTCTGTTTGAGGTGGGCTATAGGCGGCCAGCCTGAATTAATTTGATAGCTTTGTGGTGACACGCTAAGGATAAGGGAGGGGTTGGGGTTGCATCAGTCTCTGGTTAGAATGGCTTAATTCAGCTTTGCAGATGTCAGGATTGGTCTGTTCTCAGAGGTCCTCGATGAACTGATGTATGAGGACTCCACAGTATCCTGAAAGCAGGCAAAATTAATAGTGTCCTGAGAGACCAGATCACAGTCGGTGTTTTTTTAAAAAAATAAGCCATTGGTTTTTGCACATATTCTTTTTGTCTCCATCTTTCCTTCTCTAATTCCTGGACTTTCCATCATATGCAGAGAATGCTTAGTATCAGTGTTATGAATAAAGCAACGCCTCTTAGTAGAATTCATCAAGACTACCAGATGAAAAACCACCAGGATTTCTGGATGCCAGTGAGCCTAGCTTTTGGTTGAAAATGCCTCCAGCTGCAGGATGCTCAGGCACCAGGATTGGCACCCCACTGTATCTTAAAGGTCAAGTTCATCCTGCCTGCTCAGTCCTGGAACCCTGCTCCACCAACCACAGCAGCTGATCAAAGACAGTACTAATAAGGAACAAAGACAGTATTGATGAGGATGAGTTGGATATGCATATTTTAAATTCCCTTCATCTTTTCAAGCATGACTCTTTGACATTCAAGTATTGTCAAGTCCCCTGTGACATCAGAGATGCCCAGTTGGATGTCTACATATAGACAAATGAGGCAACTGCTAAACATTAAAATATTGCAAGCCTTTAATATTTAATAATATTGAAATATGAAGTGTTTAAATCAAGCCTATTCTTTGTCTTCAAAATTCTGCCTTTAGGAATTTGTTCTAAAGAAATAAGCAGGCAGGATATAAATGTGTCTGCCCAACAGTAGCCACTGAACACTCAGCGTGTGTTTAAGAACATCGGCCCTGGGTAAGAAGGCCTGGGTCCCAAGTCTTGGCTCCACTTCTTAGTAGCTGTGTCCCCTTATTGGTGTCACTCAGCTTCTCTGTCTTACCTGTGCAAAGGACTGACAATTGTTCCTACCTCATAGGGGCTGTTCTGTCATGAGAAACAAATGATTTAATATGTAGAGCATGTTTTCTGGCATGTAGTGTCGTTACTTATAGTAGGGAAATTGGAAGTAGCCTTACATATTCATCAATTTAATGAAATAAATGCGGTATGCTCTAAAGATATTCACATAGTCAAAGAAAAACAATTAGGTTACATGACAATGTATTAAGTAAGAAGTCTGAATAGTTGTCTATCCAAACTTAACTACAGTTATTTTTGTGTGTGATGAAATTCGTAGGCTACATTTTTCCTTCTGGACCACTGCTATTTTCTAAATGATCTGTAAAGGAAATATATGGTATAATAAAGGCTGTCTTTTTAACCCCATCACAATTAAGAAACTGGCACAGAGAGCTGAAGTAATCATGTGCCGGATGTGCTCCATCTACTAAGCAGCAGAGGTGGGGTTTGGACCCGGCTGTCTGACTCAGGGTCTGTCTGTTTAGGTTAGATGCTGTGTGTGTGTGTGATCTTAGCAACCCCAAAGAGCACTGAACTGCAGTGCCCGCAGCACTCACCTTGCTGCATTCACTGTTTAAAGGACTGAATACAGAGGGCCTCTCCTTCCTTGTGTCTTTGTTGTCAGCTAATAGATAAAGGGGGTTTGGGGGTCTCCAGGCTGCCTCTTAGTTAACTTGTTTAGTAACAGATGATGTAGTAAAACTGACTTTTCTGTGCATCCCGTAAATGCAATGCATTGACTTCCCATTGCATTAACCAAACTTGAAACTGTTTATATTTTTTCAAATCATAAACTGAAATGGTGGAGAAGTGGCCTATATGTTTTTCAGTCATAGTATTCAAATAGTCACACTATTCAAATATTTTAGTCATATTATTCATAATCTCCTGGGTGTCCTGAGTGAGCTTTCTAATCTTTTTCAGATGTGCAGAAGATAAATTCAAAAAGTACAGGAACACAGTGATCTTAGGCCCTGAAATTTACTTAGAGTCAATTTACTTAGTTCTGGTGGCAATAAAGTGCAGGAAAAAGTTGTCCCTTCAGTTAGAGGCTATAATTACCACAGATTGAAGGCATCGGGTGCGAACAGTGGATTCCCAGCGACTATTCCTCTTTGAGAATTGCCATTTTTATGCAAACAGTTCAATTATGATAGATGGCTTTTGTGTATCTTTTAAGGAATGAAAATTGAACATTTCAGAGTAATGATTTTATATTAGGAAATATCTTTTTAAAAAAACTTATTGATTGACTTGAGAGAGAGAAACATCGATTTGTTGTTCCACTTGCTTACGCATTCATGAGTTGATTCTCTGTGTGCCCCGTCTGGAGACTGAATCCACAACCTTGGCTTTATTGGGACAATGCTCTAACCAACTGAGCTACCCAGCCAGGGCTGAAATAATACTTAAACCTGGTAGCTGAAGCCACAAGATACATTTTTGAAAAGCATCCAAGTTTATGATTTAATGAACAAGTTTATGATTTGATCATTTGCAAGCAGAGAGGCCTGGCTCAACGAGGCTGTCAGGACTAGATACCATTACAAATCACGAAACCTTGAAATCATAAATACAGTTTAGCCAGCGCAGTTCTGAGAGGCAACTAATTAAGTCTGGGGAGCTTCTAGACTTCATTATATCATTACACAAAGTCTCTGGAATCTAGAAGGAATAGCCCGTCTGTCCTGGTAAATTGCCACCCTAATCCTCCCGGAATTCCGCTGGGAGGTGAAATTCATTCTTGTCATATGTGCCCAGGGATCATTCTTCATCTCTTTCCCAGAAGAGGCTGAGCTTCCTGAGAGGTCCTGGAAGCCAGGGAGGGATTTCTCTCTCTCTCTCTCTCTCTCTCTCTCTGCCTTGCCGTTGTTTACCTCCACCTTTAGCAAAACTAATGCAATCCGTCAGCAACAGGACCTGTTCCCCAGTGGGCCAGTCTGGCCACATCTTGCACTTGTGCTCACCTTGCCGGTTAGCAAGATGGTGGCACATAGTTTATTCTGGACCCTTCCCGTGGCCCTCTTTTCCCACTGCCTTCCTAAGGATGCATCATGGTTCATGGAAGTACCACAGGGATTTTGTCCTGGGCAGGGTTTGTCATTCACAAGCCTTGGGTAAATCAGCTTTGGTCTCAGTTGTAGAATGGTGAGATTAATGCGTGCCTTACAAAGTTGTCAAAAAGATGAAGAATAGAAAGCATTTCATAACAGGGCCTGGGCCATACTAGCCACTCAATAAATAGTTTCCATGATAATCATTGATCACTGCTTGTTAGAAGCTCAAGGGATTTAAATCACTCCTGTTTTCTTCAACTCAGAAATGCGAGCCGGCTCTATCTAGGTCCTAGAGCAGAGAATCAGAAATTGTGTTGTAGTTGCTGAGAGGCGAGGCCAAGGACACTGTACACCTAGGTCTGTTTTCTGAAAGCATATGGAATTTCATCTTTTTATTTTTAATCCTCCCTTCCTTCTTCCCACTTGTTCTCTCCTGCCTCTCTCTCCCCCTTGCTTTTATTTCCCCAGGCAATCCGGGGATTATTTTCATTATAATTTCACAACTACATACTGGTTTTTTTTGTTGGAAACGAGTTCATATTAATTCTTCTACCACACGGCATGTTTCTGATTACAAACGCTAGTCTGTACTCAGGATTGTAATGTGATCTTTGTAAACTAATGAATACTCTCTTCACTGCATGCCCCCGAACCCTAAAATTTCAAACTTGACTATAATTGAGAGGTTCCATCACTGCGAACTTTCCTCATTCTGTCTGGAATTGTTCACTGCTGCTCTTCGTTGAGACTCTGTTCGTTATAGAAGCCCCACAGCTGCAATCAATAAGAGAAAGTTAGTGAGCAGACAGTGTCGGCCCAGGCAGTTACCTGGAGCCCAGGCTTCCTTCCTGCTTCTCATTGAGTGATTGTCTTCAGACCCAGGTGCCAAATGCAAACCTGGCTATTTGCTGCAGAAGCCCAAAGAGAAACTCTCTTGGAAAAACGACTCTGAGACTGACAAGGATGCTTTTGTCATGCTCCAAGTTTGGGCCCAGTGTAGATGTTGTTGGGGGAGCGTGTGACTCACAGGGAGGGCTGTGTATTTCCCCCGCCACGTGGGTCATTGTTGGTACACCCTCTGCTGGAAGACCCGGCCTTCCTGTGCCTCTAAGCTGTGTTTAGGAAATGATGTCCTTGAGGTTGCGCCCTCTCTCGCCTTCTTCAGGGGAAAACAGGCAGAGACTGGGAGCTCTGGAATCTTGCCATTTGCTGAGTTACAGTGCAAAGGCAGGGATCCAGGGCCCTCGAGGTGGGGCAGGGGTCTGGCCGGTGTGTTCTCAGTTTCCTTCCCTTCACCGTCTGCCTCCCCTGTTGTTTTGCAGGTAGTGAAGCCGACTTCAGCTCCTCCAGCAGCACCGGCAGCATTTCCGCTCCCGAGGTCCACATGTCTGCCGCGGGAAGCAAGCGCTCCTCTTCCTCACGCAAGTAGGCGATGTCTCCTGCTCGCTAGTTATTAAAGTGCTTTTCCCCTGCACTTGATGCTTCTCTAGAGCCACCCACATGACTGCCCACTTGTATTGTGTTATTATCCAGTGAGTGACTTTTGCTTGTTTCCTAGTGGTTTGAAATCCGCGTTCTTCACCAGTCCTCCTGTGGTCACATGGCATGGCCTGTGTCATCTCTCATGCAGCCCCTGGCTCTCTGTCCACTCCCCTTTCTCTTCCTCACTCCCCCGTGTGCTCACCTGGGTATGAGGCTGGTCGCCCATGTCTCACCTCCCTCCCCTGTCTCTGTTGACTTTTAGCTGTGAAGACTCTGATTTCACCCTTTCTTTCTGCTTCTTTTTTTTTTAAATCTGCATGAAAGAAGTATAAGTGACCCTCTGGGCACCCCAAATTCCCTTGGGGAAGGGGTGAAGGAAGTATCAAGCTCAGAGGCATGAGCGGCCACCACTGAAAGAGGCAACACAGCAAAAGAGCTGAGTGTGTGGGCTGTGGAGCCAGGCTGCCTGGGTTTGAAAGCCGGCTTCACCCACAGGCTGTGTAGCCCTGAGCAAGTTGCTTAACTTCTCTGTGCCTCAGTTATCTGATCTGTAAAACAGAAGATCAAAACTGTGAACAACAAAATGGCAATAACTACATATCTATCAACAATGGAATCTAAAAAACAAGCTAAGCAAAGAAGAACAGAGACAGAATTATGGATACAGAGAGCGTTTTGATGGTTGCCAGGTTGTAGGGGGCTGTGGAGGAACGGGTGAAGAGGTGAGGGGATTAAGAAGTACCTTCGGTAGTTACTGAATAGCCACGGGGATGTAAATTACAGTATTGGAAATGGAGTAGCCAAAGAACTTACACTCACCCCCCCGTGGACATAAACAATGATGGGGAAATTGCCAGAGGGAGTGGGGGGTGCTGGGTGGAGGGGGGCAAAGGGGAAAAAAATTGAGACAACTATAATAGCATAATCAATAAAATGTAATTTTAAAAATAAATAAGAATTATTTTAGTAATTGTCCAAAGATAGGGCTATAGCCCTACCCACCTTGTAGGGTTTATTATTAGGATTCATTGGTTCGAACAGGTAAAGTGTGAGGTCAGTGCTTGGAGCATAGTAAGCATCAACCAGGGTCTCCATGGATGCTATTTGGATTGGGGAGAGAGAAGACGGGGGAAATGGGAGCCTCTGTCCACATTCTGTGGTTCAGAATTCTCTGCCACCATTAGCAGCTTATTCAACAAGTATTTGTTGAGTGTCTGCTGTGAGGTGTGTTCTGGAGAGATGGCAGTAAACAAAACGCCATGGAAACTATACTCCTTCTAGCAGGGAAGGACAGTAAGCACATAAATGATGCAATGATTTTTCAAACATGCAGGGAACAGTATAGGAGAGTAATGGGGTGTGCGGTGTATTTTAGATAGGCTGGTTCCAGGACACCTCTGCCAGGGGTAAGCTCAGAGCAGAGACCTGAACAAAGCGATGGATGAACCACAGCACACTTGGGAATGATTTGTCTTTGGACTGCGGGGAAGTCATTTAACTCTCCTGTGCCACAGCGTCCAAATTTGTATAGAAGGGGTTGGACTATGTGATTTTTTAAGGTCCCTTACTGGATAAAAACTGTCTCATTTCTAAAATCTGGCATTTCCAGCAGTCAGCAAGCATTTCTCATTCCCCCTGGGTAGGCAGAGGCTTTGGCTGATGTTTACAAAGGGACCTGAGACCCACAGTGTTGAGTTTATTAAAAAACAAAGCTGAAGCCAGACAAACCTGCAACAAAAGAGTGAAGTCCACAGTGAAAAAGCACAATTATTCGGTTCCCAAATACCATCTATTTTGGAAACAAAGTGTGTCTGGGATCAGAGGACATGAATATAAACATTCTTTGTATAAATCAGATGTGGCTTGCTCTGAGAACAAACCACTTATCTAATCCATTCAAGAAAGTAACATGTACCCCTGGTGCAAGGTATCAGTGAACAGAGAGGGAAAAAATGACATGAAGAAAAAAGACAATTTTATTAAGCATTTCAAAGGAATTTGTGTTTGTGATTAAATTCGAAGGTAATGTCAATAGTACTGAGTGACTTAGAGAAAATATTCAAATCTGGACTTCATGATTTGTCTAAGTGATTGAAAATTGATGTGTTAAACATGAAATAGACAAATATTTGCAAATAAAATATATGCTTAATAGATGGGAAATTGAAATAGGTGACGTTCTATCCACTGTCCTCACTTTTTTTTTTATGTGATCTGAGCACAGAGCACCATGCGTAGATTTCTATGATGATATAGCTCAGGCATTTCATGCAATCTTCATGTTCCATAGGACTGTTCATCGAGGACAGCTCCCGTAGATGGGCTAATGTTAATGCCAAAGTCTGTAATAGCTCGTGACCTTTTTAATTGGCTCCTTCCTCCTGTGATACAGGAATTTTCTCTGTGGAGAATTAGCCCATGAGAGGAAGGGTGATGGGAACATTTGATAAAGGGCAGTGGGAGAAATGAGGAACAGGTGATGTTGGTGAGAATAATTTTAATAGGTGATTTTAAAAACAAAACATTAGAGATTTACAAATGATCTCTCCTTCTAGAAGGCCAACTCTGCTCATATTTCTGAGGAAGTCTCTTTCTTAAACTAGAACCTTGTCAGAGGCAGACAGAAGTGAGAAGGGAGAAAACAGCTTGAGATTTAGAGTCAAGAGCCCCGGACCTGAGTTCCGTGTCGCTGTTTATGAGGGGCATGACCTGGAGCCCAAGGCTCAGTTTCCTCTTCTGGAAAATGGGGCAGTAATGGCATCTCGCTCAGGCTGCTGTTGCTGTTGCTGGTGATTATGGCGATGATTATCGTACTGGTTTGCTAGGGCTGCCCTAACAAAGCACCGCAGACTAGGTGACTTAAACAGCAGCAGATTACTTTCCCACACTTTTAGAGCCTGTTAGTCTGAGACCAAGGTGTCAGCAGAATTGGCTTCTTCTGAGCTCTCTCTCCTTAGCTTGTACATGGCCATCTTCACCAGTACTTTCCTCTGTCTGTGTTCAAATCTCCTCTTTTAAGAAACTAGTCAAGTTGGATTAGAGCCTTACCCTAGCAGCCTCATTTTAACTCCATTAGCTTTTTGAAAGCCCTGTTTTCATATGTTACATTCTTAGGTACTGGGTGGTTAGGGCTTCAGCCTACGAATTTGGGGAGCACATGATTCAGCTCATAACAATGATCATGGTAATGATGATGGTGTTGTAAGAATGTTACCTGGAGTAAAGGATAGTGGCTGGGGAATAGAGATTCACCTGGGCTCCTTCTGAAGTTTGCTCTTCACATCTTCCTTTCTCTCACTTTCTAGTTATCGTCTTCATGTTTGCAGGAATGGGGTGGTGGGGGGGCAGCAGAACTCTATCTCCTCTCTCGTCCACCAAATCAGGGGATTGTGGACGAGCTAAGGAGGGCAGTGTTGGGTTTGCCTGTTCACAGCTCTGACTAATAGGGAATCCCTGCTTCTCCTTCAAAAACATTTTATCATCAACCATGACGACTTTCTGCCCATGCATGTTAGCTGTGGAACTAAATTAAATGCAAGGAACATAACAGATATTTTTAAGCTTGTAGATGCTTTTGTCAAAGCTATTCCAAACAGTCTAATAATTCATTCCTGAAAATATATTTGAAGATTTTATTGTACTTTAGTAATGTTTCATAGCTTAATAGTTTTTGCTTTATCCTGTAGAGCAGATGAGTTCTTACAAAATCCTCATCTAAGTTTACTTGTATCTTAGAACACATGCCCCGCTAAAGAAGTCAGTGGCGAATTCTTTAGGTAATAACCACATACAAAGCCAGTACCTAATATACCTGTTTATAAACCCAAAAGAGTACAGTCCACTTGTGTAAAGTAGGAGACATTTCTGTAGAATTAAAAGACCTGCATTTCCTTCCCAGTTCATCTGTGTGTCCTTGGGCCAGTTTTTCTCTTGTTTACCCCCTGGGCCTCAGTTACTTAACTGAATGAGTACTTCAGCATAACAAGAAAAAGAGGCAATAATTGTACCAGCTAGATAGCATGATGGTCAGAATTACAAGAAACAATGTTCATGAAGCATCGGGAATAGGGGTGGGGTCACAGAAGGTCCTCGGTGAATGTGAACTTGGAACAGAATCCCCCAGGTGAAATCAGGGGTAGTCCTTTGCTTTCTCTTGCACACTGGGTAATCCTCCAGACTTCCCACAGCCACATTAAGAAACAGGTCAGTTGGTGCCAGATGTAGCTGCACAGCATGGAGAGGCAAATCCAAGCCAGATACATGTTCTTTTCAGCTCCTTTAAGGCCTCCCACCCCTGGGCTGCTCACGTCGGTTTGTCACAAAGCCATCAGCCCATCTGTTCTGTATAAAGTGTCCCCTATTCATGAAATGGAGGCAGAGGCCATTTGGATGATTTCAAAAGGAAAGAACTTTTTTAACTTTCAAATGTGGTGATGTTTCATTTATGTGTGATTTACTGGGTTGACGGCTGGTTGAAATTGTATTTGATTTTAAACAAGTAATTGTGGTCACGGGGCCAAGTATGCCCACATGTGCTCTCACATTCCCACTGACACACGTTTCTCATTGAGATGCGTGTCCGCTGGATGCAGCTGTGATTAGAACGGCAAGGGTGGGATAGTCAGAAAGCAGGGCTGCTCCGTCCGTGAAAGGTATCTTGTTCCCTGTTGTTTTCTTGTAATGTCATCAAGTAATCTTCCTGACACAGAACGGTTATCCTGTTTAAGTAATCTCGACATTCTCAAAATGCTTCCCGTGGAACTAGATGAACAGGGAGGCCCAAACAAGTTTATTCTATAATATCACACCCTACAGTTCAGTTGCCCTTACCAGCTTATCGAATGCACTCAAACGCATTCAACTCTGCAAGGAAGACAGAATAAGTTATTATAGGTCCCCTTCTATTAAGTGGCTTACTTGCCTAAGTTCCTAGGAAGTGGCAGTGCCAGGACATAAACCCAGTTTACTCGGTTGTCAGTCATTGAGGAGCACCTGGCACGTGCCAGACAGTGGCGGGGAAATAAAAGACGAGGCTCTGGTCCTGCCCTTGGCATGCCCTAGTCTAGCGGAAAAGACAAGCAAGTCTGCAGTGGTGATGCCGTGCGGTCAGTTCCACGATGGAGGTTTGCACAGGGTATTAGGGAGCATCAAGAAGTAGCACCTGCACTAGCCAGGGGAAGGGGGGATCCAGAGAAGGCTGCTTGGAGTAAGGTTCCTATCAGTTTGGAAGTAGGAGGAATCCTGAGGCTTAGGGTAGGAGAGTATTAGAAGGAGAGTATTCTAGGCAGAGGAAATGAGAAGTTTAAACATATATAAAAAAGCCCTGGCTGGTGTGGCTCAGTGGATTGAGTGCCAACCTGTAAACCAAAGGGTCGCTGGTGTGATTCCCAGTCTGAGCACATGCCTGGGTTGTGGGCCAGAACCCCAGTAGGGGATATGTGAGAGGCAACCACACATTGATGTTTGTCTCCCTCTCTTTCTCCCTCCCTTCCGCTCTCTCTGAACATAAATAAAGTAAATTATATATATATATATATATATATATATATATATACACATATATATGATTTAAACCATTTATATATATATAAATCATATACACACACATACATATATAAAGATGATGGGGAGCATGAATCAGCAGGAAACTAAGTCCTTTGGAAGGCTGGAATGGAGGGAGGAGGGGAAGTGGCAGAGGGTGGGCGGGGCAGTGGGACCTTGTGAGCCTGGCAAGGAGTTTGCCCTTTGTTCTGGAGGCAGTGGGGAGTCAGCGAATGGCCTTGGGGAGGGCAGTGACCTTCAAATTCCATTTTAGAAAGGCCGCTCCAGCCACAGGGTCAGCCTCTTGCTAGAGGGGACAAGACAAGAGACCAGGGAATGAAGAGGGCTGTTACAACATTTCAGCAGTTAAATGATAAAGGTTGTACTAAGTTATTGGGGAGGGGAAAAATAGGCAGTTAAAATTATGAACTCAGCGCATTTATGTGGGCTATGTTTATCTGCCCTATTTTCTCCTTCTTCTTTATAGGTAACCCCCTTTCCCCCCATCTTCCGAATGAACCGCCCCAATTTTCTTACCCCAACACGAACCAAACACAACTATTTTAAAGCTGAAACAGGTGCCCTGGAACAAAAACCACATCTTCAAAACAGCCTCCAAAATGAACTTGAACCAAGTCAATATTTACATGGTTTGTGTTCCTAGCAGGCAGCTGGGTTTAATCCAAAACAAGCTCTGCGGTCAGAGACCACTGAAAAGGGCAGCAGGGGAGAGACTACCTGTGCCACGGCACAGGGGAGGAAGTGTCGGGCAGGCGGGAAGGCAGGGAGAGGGCAGTTTGCACTAGTGAAGGTAGTGCCTGTTTCCACACTCTAAGTTGGATTCCCTCGGTGCCGACGAGCTCTAAGGAGTGCAGCATTCACATGGGCACCAGTAGGCCCGAGGGGGTTAACACCGTCTCATGCTTTTCCCCAGTCGAGGTCCCCATGGGCGGAGTAATGGAACTTCATCCCACAAGTCCAGCAACAGCCCGCCATCCCCGCGGGAAAAGGACCTGCTGTCCATGCTGTGCGGGAGTCAGCTGAGTCCTGTGAACACCCACCCCAGCTATGCGCCTTCTTCGCCCAGCAGCAGCAACTCAGGCTCCTGCAAAGGAAGTGACTGCAGCCCAATCATGAGGTGAGTCTGCACGGATCCTCCTTCGGTTCATGGTTCCTAGTTTGTCCAACGTGGTACGTGTTCTTTAAAAAAAAAAAGCTTGTGCAACTCTTGATTCGCTGCCTTATTCTGCAATAAGACACTTCTCTCTCCACACTCAGCTAATTGGGTAAGGGTTGCTACAGAAAGAACACGAGCCGCAATCCTTTATCCGTTTCAGCAGTCCAAGTAGTGACCGGACAGGGAGGGAAAATGGAATCATTGTGTGCATTCGAACACCAGCCATGTGTGGAGTGCCTGCCACGTTGTGCCAGGTACTGTGTGCGGTGCTGGGAGCAGAGCAGTGAACAACAGAGACAGGCTCCGTGCTTGCCACCCAGAGGATAAGAAGGACCCTACTCATCCAATAGCAAAAACGCAGTAAGATGCCCTGGCCGGGATGCTCAGTTGGTTAGAGCGTCGTCCCAATGTGCCAAGTGTGGGTTTCGTCTCCAGTTAGGGAATGTATAAGAGTCAACAACCAATGTGTGCATAATAAGTGGAAAAACAAATCACTCTCTCTTCCTCTCCCTCTAAAATTAATCAGCTAATCAAATTTTAAAAACTCCAGCTCCCATTATTCTGCCAGTATATGCGCATGTAAAAGGCGTCCAGGGGGTCCGTCTGCAGTCTGGAGGGATCAGAGGAGGCCTCACTGAGAAAGTGGAATGGAAATGAGACTTGAAGGTCAAGTAAGGAGTGAGTTAGTCCTGGGGGGGGGGAGTGGAGAGGGAGAAAGAAGGAACTGCACATCCAAATGGGCCCCGACTGGACGACTGGGGAACTGGGAACTGGACTCGGACCATTTGGAAGGACTGCAGGCGCAGGGGAGTGCAGCGGCTTGGGCTGGGTCCAGAGTCAGCGCAGCGGCTGCCAGCCGTCCTCCTTCAGTCCTCTTCTCTGGGCGTCCTGTTCCATCAGTCAGCCCTCACAGGGGGCAGCCCGGCTCCTGGTCAGGCCTGAGAAGGGCCGATTCCAGCTGCGGTGGGGGTGGGGGTGTTTTAGAACACGGGGCACCTCTCTCACAAAGCACACTCTGGTGAGAGTGGTGTAGCCTCCTTCTCGGCAGAAGGAAACTCTCCGCAGAATCAGCACACTCACTCCAGGGACTGGTTCCAGAACAATTTGAATTCAGCAAGTAACAGTCAGGATCTTAGGGGCACACTGTGTGGAAAGTGAGGTCATCTTGCTCCCTTCCCTCCCTGCCTCACTCATTGTCCTTTCATACAGCAGCACGTTACTCTGAAGCGACAGGCGGGCCATGGGCAATTGCACCCTATTCTGTATGAGATCTTTAGGAAGCCACAGAGAATCCTCCCTGTCCCCTGTCACCCTCCTCAAACAGCACCCCGATTTTCCAAGTAATGAACATCCTAAGACTGGCAGGTGTGTTACCGTCCCCTTGCACAGCGAGGTCACATGTGACTGAGGTTTAAGACCCCAGCACACAGCTGCCATTTCTTCTCAAGCTATTCTCTGCGCTTTAACTTTTCACCCAAAAGGAAATGGGCAAAGAGTAACATGTCGTGACTTGTGCTCTTCCAGGCGGTCCGGGAGGTACATGTCCTGTGGCGAAAACCATGGTGTCAAGCCCCCAAATCCAGAGCAGTACCTGACTCCTCTGCAGCAGAAAGAGGTGACAGTGAGACACCTGAAGACGAAGCTGAAGGAATCTGAGCGCCGGCTCCATGAGAGGTGAACCCACAGGCCCGGCACAGGGTGGTTTAGGACAGTTTGTTTTTCCTACAAGATGAAACGGGAAACCACTCTCTAGAAAGATAGAAAAGAAGAAATGTGATTTTACTTCCTTTTTGTCATAGTCCATAAATCAGGAGTTGAGGGGACCCTGTCCCAAGGTTAGAGGAACCGCCTGCTTTTTCTGGGTGTGTGCAGCTGTGACGTGAGGAGCTGGGTGTGTGCCTGACGACTTCTAAATGGCAGGAACACTGAGACGAAAAGCCACACTTCCCGCAGAATGGGTCACACACAGCGAGCCCATTAAGCTCTGTTTCTGTAAGAGAAGGGCTGGCCATGTGCGCTGGGATTCCTGCAAGTTATTTCTGTGCTGAAGGAAGAGGTTCGTTATTCTTGGCCAAGTGTTAAGGTTCAAAACAAAACAAAACAAAGCAGCCCCATGCTTAAGAGATCTTATCTCGGAGAGAAAAGACCTTTGACGTCTTGGAGCAGCCCCAATTCTCTGCTGGATGGTTTTCCCTGGAACACTTTAGGACGGCGGAGCAGAGCTCTGGCCAGGGTAGCCATGAACCCCAGCTAAGGCTGCTGTGAGTCAGACCATACTTTGCGGAAATCTTTGCTTTGGGATGTGAGGAGACCATGGGAGGGCTCGAGCACTCACGGGAGGGAGGTGTGAAGGCAGTGAACCTGGAGAAAGTTCAAGCCCACACTTAAAGCAGTGATACTCACATCTCTAACTACATAGGAGGATCCTGACCACCTGGTCTTCATAGCCACTGAGAATATTGAGGACATAGGAAGAAATTATATGTAAGGAAGAAATTATATGTAAGGAAGAAATTTTCAGCTAAGATCTTGAAATAGAATCCTGTGAAGGGCCTAAGAAAATAAGATATATCCTCTTCAGTGTAGGATGGTTCAAATATCCTCTTACCTAAGAGGAGATTGAGTAATTAATGTTGCACAAAGTCCTTGCTGTATGTATCATCATATGACTTATTTTTTCAAAGTTATCATTGGAATATGGCCAGGTCAATTCTGCCTTCTTAGATAGGTGATTAAAAGAGGAGTGGACTTTGCTTCCACAAAGTCTGGGTGTATGGAAGGGAAAGCGATGGCAATAAAGCTAAGAGACTCTAGTGTGTCCTAATAATAAATTTTAAATATTAAGTATTAAATAGAGTATAATGCTCATAAAGTACTTAATGCAGTGGTGACATGTAGTAAGCACTAAAAAAATAGTAGTGTTTTTTATTCTGTTTCTACTATGATTACTTAAGCCATTTTCCAATTGTGGGGTGTGTGCATTCGTGGCTAATACCTGCAAAAGAGAGAAATGTCAAAACCGATTTAGCCTCTGGGTTTCGAGGGGAAGAGCGTGGGCTCTTGGCCGCAGGTCAGAACTGCTTGCCACCTGGCTCCGGGTTGACCCGTTTCTCAGCCTTGCTGGTCTTCTCACTCCAGGGAAACGGAAATTGTGGAGCTGAAGTCCCAGCTGGCCCGGATGAGGGAGGACTGGATTGAAGAAGAGTGCCACCGCGTGGAGGCCCAGCTGGCCCTCAAGGAAGCCAGGAAAGAGATCAAACAGCTCAAGCAGGTCATCGAAACCATGAGGAGCAGCCTGGCCGATAAAGATAAAGGCATTCAGAAATACTTCGTGGACATAAACATTCAAAACAAGAAGCTGGAGTCCCTCCTTCAGAGCATGGAGATGGCGCACAGCGGCTCCCTACCGGACGAGCTCTGTCTGGACCTCCCGTGTGATTCCCCAGAGAAGAGCTTCGCCCGAAACACCACTTTTGGCAAGATGGCAGGGGAGCTGTCGCTGGAAGGGCAGGTCACAGAGGAAGGGGCCGACAGCGAGCTGCTGGCGGGTGAGAGCGTGGCTGATGGCACAGATTCGTTGGATGAGCTGGTGACGGCCACCACCACCGAGGCTGGCCACCTGGAGCTTCTCCACTCCCCGGTGGGGGCGAAGGTGCCGGAGGGCCTCCCCCTGGCGGTGGGGCCGGAGAAGGGCATCCTGACGGTGGAGCGGGCCGTGCAGACCGACGTGGTTCCCTACAGCCCTGCAGTCTCGGAGCTGGTCCAGTACGTGCTCCAGCTCCAGGACCCCTACCCCTCCAGCTCAGCATCCCCCGATGAGTCCACGGCCGATTCCACAGGGAGCTTCCTGGAGTCCCTCTCTGCGTTAGTGGTTGATTTAACCCCAAGGAATCCAAACTCAGCCATCCTTTTGTCTCCCGTGGAGACCCCATACACCACGGTGGATCTGGAAGCTCATGCAAACCGCCTCATGCGAGAGCTGGATTTTGCAGGCACCGCAGAGGAAGGGTCGGACAGCATCATCCCGCGGGCCCCAGGGACCGTGGGGCAGCAATACTGGAGCCACAGTTTCCTGGTGGATCTCCTGGCTGTGGCTGCCCCCGTGGTCCCCACCGTGCTGTGGGCATTCAGTACTCAGAGAGGGGGGACAGATCCCGTCTATAACATCGGCGCCTTGCTCCGGGGCTGCTGCGTGGTGGCCCTGCATTCGCTGCGCCGCACCGCCTTTCATATCAAAACCTAGTTAGAAGTGGTTGTTCCCGTGTGCCAATCTGTCCCGTGTGGTGTGGTGCCAGGTGGAGAAACAGCAGGTCGACCTAGGGCGGTCTCTGTTCTGTCGTGTTGCTCCTCGGTATTTGATTTGCACTATATTTAGTTGAAGCCTGTTCACTGTCGAGGACCCGAGGTATCTTCAAAGGCATGGAGACCTGATTCAAGTAAATGTCCTACCCGTGGGGTGTAGAAAGCATGCTCGTGACCCTGCCGTGTCGTCCGAGGTTCCCGTTCTTTCCCTAGTGGTTCAGGATGAGAAAATGCAAAGTTTGCACTTTCCAGACAGCTTCTGTAAGGCTGGCATGTTATCTCCTTGCTTTGCTTTGTGCCGTTTTCAAATGTGTGATAGTCCCAGCATTCCAATGGTCTTGTGCACAGCAGGGGACTGTAACCAAAAACAAACACGTATTTGTGTCACTGGGTTGAAGACGTCTTCACTAGTCCTTTAGTGTCTTACTTGGGGTTGATCAGATTTGAGTGTTTGCAGTTTTCTACTAAATGTAGCTCCGAAGTCTTAAAATGGCTTGTTTGTTCTTAAACCTGTTAATTGATGAAACTGTATGTAAGTTTACAATGTATTAACTTATTTTTTGCTTATTATATATAGTGTTTTCTTGGGAACTATTTGTAACCACACACTTCAGCATGATGAAAATAAAGATTAGTGTTTCCAGTTAAATGAATGTTTTATCCTGCTATAAAGTAATTACTTCTGAGGTTTTACTTTGGTAGGTAACAAAGGTTAAATGGGCAGCAGATCCTTCCATGGTTATCAGTAGGGCTCTATAAAAATGAGGTTACCTTAAGAAATGAGAAAGAGGGAAAATAACTATTTAACAGAGGTGAGGATGTCGTACTTTAAATTTTAAGAAGCATTGTTTGTGAGTAAAAGTAGTTTTGGTTCTTTGTGTGCTTTTAAATTACCCATACACTTGTTTTTCCACATAGTTACTCCGTAAGGATGTGTTGGATATTTTCGGGAAAGTTGAGCTGATTTTTTCCAGAGCATGTTAAGGGTGCAGAGAGGGGGAGTGTGCTAGTGCCATAAGCCCCCCCTCCCCTGGGAATAACAGGGTGAGGTTGGGTGGCTGGAAAGGGATGAGATACAGCATTTTGTCTGTATTCCTTTATTCCTCACACCAGTCTTGTGAGGTGGGTTAACTATTCTACTTTACAGAGAAGGAGCTGAGCCTCAGAGGCGGGTTGCTCAGGATGTCCTAGTTCATCTCTAGCAGCCAGGATTCCCAGCATCTGCAAAGCAAATGCCTTTTCCGCTTTAGCACACAAACGGCAGAAACCTGGAGAAGATACAAAGTTCCCACCCAGAAACTCATCTTCCGTACAGCACGTATCACCTTTAAACATAACACTAAGTTTTTACCTACTGTGTCCTGGTTATTGCCCATTCCGCCCTAACCCGTTAGCTCTCCGGGTGTAGGAATCTGTGTTCTGTTTTGTTCACAAGAGTATGTGGCATGTATACTCTTGGGAGGGGCTCTAGCAATGGCTGTTGAATGAAGTAATCCATCCAACAAATTCTTTTTGGGTGCTCACATACCAGGCACTTTACTGGGCTCGTCTTCAGCAGTGGAGGAGACAGTGTCTTCCCTCAAGGAATTTACATTCTGCCTGTGAAAGACACAGAAAGTGCCAACAAATGAACAAGATCATTTTATTGGCTTGGCCAAAAATTGGTTTTTCATTTTTAATGTAAGCTGGCTCTAGTAGCTCTTAGTTGTCTTTAACTTTATTCAAAACAATTTTGTTAGGTTGTATTATGACGGCTGTCACAGCATGCATTAAAATTGATGAATTTTTGTGTGGCCATTTTAATATTGAAAATGGAAGGAAATATGCACCATTTTTGGCATATTAAGCTTTATTTCAAGAAAGGTAAAAACACAACTGCAAAACAAAGGAAAAAGATTTGCACAGTGTATGGAAAAGGTGCTGTGACTGATTAAACTCATAAAGTGTGGTTTGTGAAGTTTCATGCTGGAGATTTCTCACTGGACATTTCTCCATGGTCAAGTAAACCAATTGAAATTAATGGTGATCAAATTGAAATATTAACTGAGAAAAATCAATGAATCTTAAAGCATGTGGGAGATACTCAACATACTCAAAATATCCAAATAGATAAAGTTATTGGTGAAAATGAAACGTGTCTTCTATTTTATGGAAAAAACCATATGGACCTTTTGGCCAACCCAATAGATAGCGGTAAGTGCTTCCAAGGACATAAATTAGGGCTTTTAACCAAAAGTGACGGGAAAGGAAAGGAACACCTCTAAAGAAATAACATTAGCACTGATGAATGAAAAAGAACCAGTCACATGAAACTATGGCAAATAAAATGTTGCAAAAAGAACACATGTAAAGCCAGGAGGCAGAAAAAAGCTCAACATTTCACAGGGGCAGCCGCCAAGAAGGCCAGTGTGGATGGAGCAGAGTGGGGGGTGGGGGGAGTTTGGAAAGGTGAACAAGAAGCTAGTTCATATGGTGCCACGTAACAAGGGTAGGGTTGGTTCGAATTTATCCCCAGAGCAATGAGAAATACTAAAGGACTGTAAACAGAACAGAGATATAATCTGGTTTCCTCCTCCTCCCCCACCAACGCATTGTACTAAGCAGGCAGGAGCAGCAGGAAGTAAGGACTAGTGGGGGTCTATTGTAATTACTGACCAGGTGAGTAATTACCGAGGATTTGAGATGAGAGTGGATATAGAGATTACCTTGAATAACAAGTCACAGCTTTGAAGATAGAGCTGTTGTGAGTTGCTGATAGACTAGACATGGGGAAGGTGTGGGGTAGGGTTTAAGGAAGACTCCGGTTTTTAGCTTGAGCACCTGTATCAATGGTGGTGCCGTTGACTGAGAACATACACAGATCAAGAAAACAAGTATGGGAAAATAAATTTGAGATGTCTATTAAACATCTGTGTGGAAATACCAAGTGCATGTGTATGTGTCTATATATATAGGAAAATCATGAGCGTTGTCAGGGGAGTGCTATCAACTGGGGTTCTTCAGCATGTACACACTAGATGAAACCATAGGATGCACAACGTCATCCCGGGAGAGTGTAAAGAAGCAAAGAAGGCCAAACACTGAGTCTGGGACACTTCCACATTTAGACAGAGGATGAAGACCCAACAAAACAATCTGATAAAATGCCATCCAAAGATAGGAGGTAAACTAGGTGAATGTAGTGTTATGAAAATTAAGGGGGAAAGGGATTTCAGAGTAGATTGATCAACTGTGTTAAAATCCTGCAACAAAGTTGAGTAATATTAGAACAGATACGTGTCCACTGGCTTTGACCACAAAGCCTTCTTGATGGTCAAGGTAATTTCTTTGGAGAAATGGGGATGGAAGACAGATTGTTGGGGGGAGTGGGTAGTGGCTAGAAGAGAAAGCAGAAATTCATGTATGTAGCTAATTTTTTGTTAAGTTTTACTGTAAAGGGGAGTGGGGAAGTGGGTAGTAGTTATAAGGGGAGATGGATTACAGGGTTTTGCTTTATTTTGCAATATTGATAGGAGATAGAGCACATTTACATACTTTGTGAATGAGCCAAAGAAGGGAGAGAAATCGATGACCTAGCAGAGAGGATGAACTGAAGGAGGGAAGCCGTTAAGATGAGAAGGAATGGGATGTAGGGCCCAAAGATGTGCATGAGAGAGGTGGTTTGTCTCCGAAAGGCCATGGCTTCCACTGGAACACTCATGGGCACTTGGAACTTAGCAGTACAGGGATTTGGCTGAAATGGAAAGGAAACTATTTTGGGAGGTGAATAACCGGAACTGTCCCAAAATAATGAGCCGTGCTGACTCAGGTCCCTTCCTGTAGTCCAGCCCAAACCAGTACATAGATGCTGTTATCTTCCTTACAGTCCCGCCTTGTATTTATTTTGAGCCATTGCTAAATCAGTGCATTTTTACTTTAAGGAAAATTATAAGGGATGTTTTGATCTCCACTTGTTGCTACAGAAATGAATTTAATGACACAAATTCAGCTCTGTTCTTCATCAAAGCAAAATGGATGGAAAGATGGGCTCTGGAAAGATGAATTCTCCATGAACCACAAATATTTATGTTGATAATCAAATTGGAGGCTGCTGATCATGAATAGAAACTTGCTTCATTGTCTTAATGACCCACATCCTTCTTTAAACCAAAGCTAACTGCATACTCTATCCACACTGACACAAATCTGTGCAGGGATAAACCAGGAGGTCCTGTAGCAGTTACTCACTTTTCTTTTCCTCTCCTCACCCTCCTCCAACGTTTCAGTGTGTATAGGCTGTGGAAAACTACTGCTTTCATTCCCAAAAGTCTCTCACAAAATGAGTCCCTTAGAGTAAATAAAAGGTGGAGCACAGCTTGCCTTTAGGAAGCCCAAGGCGTTGGCTGCTTTTGTGGACAGGATGACCTGATTCCACAGAAGAAGTGCTTCTAAGTTGCTTCCCGTAATTTGGTGCCTGTGATGTACAAACTGGCAGACAAATGGAAAAAGAACAATTCCACTCTACTGAACAAACTACTATCCCATCAAGGCAAATGTTAAACGTTTCCTCCAGTTACGTGTGCAAACATTCCAATTTGCAAGAAAAGATTACTCCCAAAGGGATATGCTGACCTTTCCAAGTTGAGCTGTTCAGAAAGGGGGGAAAAATGCAATGCACGCAGATGCCAAGCGATTCTGACATTTGTGGCAGGAGAAAAAGGAAGTCTGTGATTTGCATTTATCAGAGTCCCTGCCTAAGTAGTGGTTGGGTCTGATATGTCTTTCATTTGAGGATGTTTCACTTTAAAAGTCTTGGGGGTAGTTTCTGACTTCCATCTTGGCTCCATGAGCACTTTTACAAAGTCCACTTTTTTCCCATCTTACCCGGCAACATGTGCAGAAGGAAGCTGTAACCCAGGCGATTAAACACAGCAGAGTGCTCAGCAACAAAGGCTTGAAAGAATGTCAACAAACTCCAAATTGTTCCCCCCCAAATTTAGAAAGTCCAAACAGAGTAATTCAAATTGATATCAGGTCATTATTTTTTAACCACTGGAAGTGAGGCTTCGCTGTGACTACTGGATCCCCCTCAATCACAAGGCCTTTGAGGACTAATGGTTATAACAGTGCTTGCACAGAACTTTAAAATTCAGAGATGTGAGGAGTGTTTGTGTTAAACTATTGGGATATTTCAGTAGTGTTTAAGTTTTGTAAAAGGCGTATCTCTTTCAAAAAATGTAGTCAACATGAAAAGCCCAATACATAAAACATATAAAAGTTTTGGGAACAGGGGCACCAGGCCTGGAGCCCTGCCCACACTTCCCTCTCATCCTCTGTAGTGGTTCCAAGGTCTCCTCTGAGTTCAGCTTAAAAACCAGTTCATATTTTTAAGCTGAAAACCACACCATGTGTGGTGACCCTCTGTTCTTTGGAAGAGAGCAGCAGTTTCCAACAGGTGTGCAGAAGAAGTTTTAAAACATGCAAACCTGACTATTTAGTCAGGGCCACTGACCTCTTTTCCCTTAGATTGTCAAATTAATAAATGACAACATGCAACACAACAATAGTAGTGAATCAAAATTATACTTAATTTTGTCAGATAGGCAAAAATGTATTTTTTGCTGTGCTGCAAAATTTTACTAATCAGTTTATTTCTGCCATGAGATGAAAAAAGTTAATCGCTGGACTAGATAGTACTCTGGGTAATGCCAAAGGACTCAAACCTCTACTGCCCTGAACAAAGGTTGAATGGAGTGTTTTCTCATCTTTCCTCAGTGCACTTCATTTGTCAGTGCTCTGGTGGTTGGACTGTGAAGAGGATCTCTCGCTGTAAATAGAGGTCACATGGCATAGCACCTGGGATGGTGGTGAAGTAAAATGATGACGAAAACCCACATCCAGGGCTCCCCTAGAGAACACTATGACAGGCAGGCATCAGGACTCTGCTCCTGGAGGCCCTGGATTTCCTCCGGGTGCTGATCCTATCTGACCTGACCCCAGGGATGTTTTCACTCTTGCTCCCTGAATACGTCATTTCTGATCAAAGCTATTTAAATAACTTTGAAAAACTCAATGTTTGCCAGGCTACAAGTGTAACAGGCTGGAACATGAAAACTATTGACAATGGCACTATTTCTCTGACTTGATGGTTCGTGGAGTCGTGGAGACCTGCCCTCCCTCCCTCCCTCCTTCCCTTCCTCCCCCCCTCCCGCCCTCCCTCCCAATCAAACAGCTCACAGTTTCTGAAATGCATTGCCCTCCGTGCTCTCTCCAGGAAACAATAGGTGCAGGCATTTTCAACTGACCTTCAGTTCTTCTGAGCCAGCACATTATTTTCTGCTTATTGGTTGTAGAAAGAAAGTGAAAAATGAAAGCAGTCTTAGTAATTTTCACATTTCCCATTTAAAGCAGTACCTGGAAAAAAGTTTTAAAATGATCACCCATGTATAAGCTGATTCCACAAGGGTTGCTTCTAACCAAGAGGGATAAGCAATTAGGAAGTTCTGTTGCATTGCAGAACTTCAAAAGGCGCTTGTGCACTTTAAATGAGGCAACTGAAATAGATCTGTGTTCTTATGCACACCTTACTTTACTTACCACTGCAATAAATATTGAGTCAAAGTTCCTCTTAAAAAAACCTATTTCAGGGCCAACATATCTAATGATGATGTCATTTTCCCTGTAAAATAGGTATACACTCATTTTACTCAACAATAGTCAACAGATTTGGAAACTGAAATGCTGTATAAATTAAGGATTCAAATTAAGGTCTGAATATTTTAGCAAGTAAAACCAATTATAGGAAGCAGTTAGTATCTTGCAATGAGCCAAAACTGACCTAGAAAGAAGAAACCATAACGATTTCTCCCAATATACCACTGACTCAGAGTATATCCTTTTAATTTTCTGTGCATGGAGATAATTTTTTTTGTGCCAATCACTCTCTGAACCAGATCCAGAACCAGTTAAAAAGATAACTGGACAAGGTCAGACCCGCAGTTTGTAGCAGGAAGGTCTCTGGGTACAGCCCTGGTCTGCACACCCATGAAACCTGCGGCCTTGGCCTCATTAGCATTATGACCCCATCAAGTGGGCTAATTGGCCTATGCAAATGTATGAATATAAACCACATCTCATTTTGTCTTGATTATAATATCTGACCCAAGTGAACTGGGAATACATAATTACATGGCATTGACATTCAAACATAGTTGTTATTTACTGAAAATAGAAGCCAATTTCTTTCATATTCATTAAATAATTCTTAGAAAACACAAATGGGTATTACCTACTGTAACTTCACTGAGTTCATAAAAACTTAAGGGGGAATTCTAAAGGCACTTTGGCAGCTCACCCTTATCAGTCCACACAGAATGCTGCTTGACCACTGACACAACCTGTTCCCAAAACTTGCTGATTTTCTTCCCACTAACCTAGTTCACACTTGCCTGCTAAGCTTTGGTTTCCTTATAAAAGGAAACATAATGAGGACAATGTTTACCTCACTGGATTGCAAGGAGTCACTGATATAATTAAAGGCCCCCAGATAGTGTGAGCTCGTGATAAACGGTGTCTTTCTTATTAAGTTGGCAGGTTGAAAGGGTGTGTAAAATGTATTACTGCTACTGCCCCCATTCTCCACAGGGAAGAGGCTGCCGTACCAAGGCACACCCAGCATTTGGAAACGTATGCATGGGACCTCCTAACAGCTGCCATTTATCATGCGCTTATACATGCACATTTACAGTCTGTTACTTTCTAAAACTGTCTCCATTTAAAAGATTTCCAAACCCAGGCAATTTAAGTCAGATTGTGCCATCTCCGCAGCAGCTCTGGGAACACTGAGCAGCTCTCAAAATTGGTGTGATCAGATCAATACACAGGCAAATTACCTGCATAACTAGCCATGGCTGAGATGGACTCGGGCTGGCCACAGACTGAGCGTAAGTTTCTTCTTAAAAACTCCTCCTGGTGGATTAGCAGTGTCAGCAGCAGCTCTGCAAGGGCAGAAATATGTTACACGGGGTGGGGTAAGGGGGCTCCTAGAATAGAGTCTCTTTCCAGCCCTGAAGATCGAGGCTTCTGGTGAAATAGCCTATTACTACTCTGAAAACTTACTCTAGTTCTTGAGCATCACTAATGGCCATGACTAAGGAGCACTGAAGATAAAAGGTAAAAAGCAAAGTAAAAAACAACAGGTGACTGTAAAAGGAGTCACTGGCTGTTGCCGTAACCTTGAACAGACTTGGCTGTACAGAAGAAAAGTGAAGTAAATTAAACACACTAAAAAGACCTCTCTTTGATATTAGAAGTGACTCAAATTTAAGAAAATCTATGCAACTGGTAAAGACAAGTTATTAGCTACTAAAATAAGCTTCTCCTGGGCCCACCATCTTCTGCAGCCCCCCAATCCCCCTGAGCGGGGGGGGGGGGGGGGGGAAGCTCCTTCCCTGGGGCCATCGGTAGGTCCTAGAGCACTGCATCCCCTCCCCCTCAACCTGGCTTCAGCCAGAGCCACTCACTTGGGTACTGTTGCATTTGCTCGCACACCTTACGAATGATTTCCTTTGAACAAGGTGCTGAAGACTATGAAAACCATCACATATGCTGTCCCCAAAGATTAAATATGTGCATGTCGGCGGTAGCTGGCTCAGACCAACCCTTCAGTAAATACATCATTGGCAAAATTTAGGCTTTTTGTAACACTGGCATTGGTTAGATTTACACGTTAGTGGCAGCTTGTGGAGTGGTGTTGGGAAGCCCCATCATCCAGATGCCAGTTTCTAGGGCTACACCCTTCTTCCCAACCACCAATCTTCAACCAGGAATGGTTGCTGCCCTGGCCAGAGGTGAGGGCATGTCAAAACTGAGCAATTCAGAAGCTGAATCTTGTCAGTTCTAAAATGCCATGCATGTTATTTAAGAAGGGCCAAGAGTCAACTAGAGGATATCTCTTGCTAAAGCTCAGTAAGAGGAAATAGCTGGAAACCATGAATGCATATATAAAACAAGCACAAAGTAAGTTTCAGACGTGTCTGATTACTTGCCTCAGTACACAAAATGCACGTTTTGGATCCCAGGTGGTGCTTCACTTGTTCTATCTGTGCATGTTTATATATTGTTTCCTTCTAATAAGCTTCTAAAAACAGAAAATTCTTTATTAAGAGAAAAGAAAAACAGAAACCATAAATTTAGAAGCTAAAGAGCCAGTTTGCTAATATGAAATGTTTGTCATATGTATTTATTTCTAAGCAGTCTTTATTTCTAAAAACACAGAAAGCAAATAAAACCCCAAATCTCACACACATGAAAATTATAACTAAAGCAGACTTCAATACTTGTTATATATTAGGGAAAATCAGTACAATTTATTGTACTAACAAGGAGGTATACGCTTTATGAGCCCCAAATTTAGAAAATCATGTAGTTTCCCCATATTAACTAAATAATAAATACAAATGAGGGAAGACAATGTACACTTATATATTATTAAAATTTTGAGTCTAATTCTATTTACTGGGAGTTTGGTAGCAAAAACTCCCTAATAACCATGTATTTGAAAATGTGATTTCGGCTATAAAAACAAGCTTTTTACCAAAGTTAGATTTCAGCTGATTCCACAATCACATTTAGTCTGGAAGATTAAGCTAAGAACTTGGGGAGCTCTTGTTGTATATATAGTTCGTCATTTTATGAAGTATCACTTTAATTCACATATATTAGCAATATCTGGCCTGTACAGAGAGTTCCTGTGACATTTTAAAAACTGACCAAATGTTAATTTTGGGCAACTTTTAAGAAAGTAAAAGTCTTAAAAAATTCTAAAGCCTGAGAAAATCAGGCTGGATGTATTTTAATTATGGAGGAAAACAATAGGATTTTAAACTATTAAATCTGCATCTTCCCTGTGAACACAGAATCTATCTTATTTCCTTAAAACTGTTTTGGAGCTAGTCAACACTCCAAAATAAAATCACTGTTACTCCTATCTTGGTCTATAATTTAATAAATCGATGTTATCTTAGCCCAGAACACAGGTAACCTGCATTATGTCAGGTATATAAAAGTGATACAGAAATCGTCTAAAAGTTTTGAAATGACAGAGCTGAAGACTTTCTGCTTTGTAAGTTAAAGGTTTTTGGGGAGGAGGAACTAAGGTACTTAAAGAGACCATAACATCTTAAAATCTACAACAAAAGGGGAAAACTACTGATACTAGTTTCTAAAAATCACACGTTATAATAATGTAAAACAAAGTTGCCATTTTATCTGATTTTCAATGTTTAAACATGCAATATAAATTATAAATAACATTATAACACCATCTTAAAGAAAACAAAAATGTACAAAATTTTTATGATAAATAAAATTATTGCATTTAATGTCATTATATTTGAAAACCAAAATCAGTGAATTCTTTGATGTACTGAATATAAACAGTAACGGTTCAAATGAAAAGAAATGTATGCCAACACCAGCTTCTGGGAACGATAAAAAAGTTAAAGCCCTGCAGGTCTGTCTGATTTAGGTTGGGGAATCATGGAAACAAAATATTTAAAATGATTTATTTTATCATTATGAACATTGAAGAAAAGCATTATAGACAGCAGAGTTCTTTCCCACCATAAAATTATTTACACCCATTTATTCAGCTAGCAATACTAGCTGGAAGAGGTACTGGTATGTTCCATTTGTAATAGCTTCGCTACAGCACACACTGTCTTCTGTTGGAGCATGTTGAAGGAAATATTGTCTCGTAAGTCTTTCCACTCTTTTGAGTCTCAGTCACTAAAGTTCAAAGTACTCTCAGAATCCCGGTGTCCTTAATGGCCTGATGAATGCACTGAAATCAAGCAGTGTGTATTCTGAAAACGCTCTTACAGCCATACAAATGCTGCTCGGGTTGTGGGTCACCTATTTCTCCTACTGGCACTATGACATTGGAAGGACATTTGTTATGAAAGTTTCACACCAATCTTGTTTTGTTCCTTCTTCATTAGCCGCTGTGCTTCCTTTTCCATTTTCTTCCTTTGTTGTTCTGCAGCTCTCTTTTCTCTGTCTGCTATCTTCTGCTGCCTGAGAAAAAACATATCCTTATTTTTACCTTCAGAAAATACCATACAACTAAAATACCTTATACATTCCAGAAGGAAACAGCAGTGCATTTTTTACCAGCATCAAATGAAAGTAAAAAGTCTTCATTCTTTTCACTTTTAAATTGCAAAGATTTTCAAAAAAGCATTTCTGTCAATCCTTAGAATATAACTTACAAATTAAAAGAGGTATTATCTATATTTTACAAACAAGTAACATGAGGCACAAAGGCTAAGTGACGTGACCAAAGTTGTAGGATTAAGTATAAGAAGCCACATCTCCTGACCTCTTTTCTTCAGATTATTTATTCCCACTAAGCCACTGCTTCCCTTTGACCACATCAGTTTTTTGATACCACTCAGAACAGCCTGATATTGAGGAATCACTCTCCTTTTATTTTAATAATTTTTTTAAAAGTTAGCAAAGGATGTCAAGAAGAGAGATTTGCAGAACAAAATTTAAAAAAAAAGGAAACTTAAGATAGGCCTTCCAACTAGAAGCTAGATTTCTATTTAAGGATTAAATAAATTTTTATTAAGGTGGCTATTTACTTATTACATATCATGAGAGCAGGAGTGGGTGATGCAATAGGCCAAAGGACAGGAGCAGAAGCTAGTCCTGGATCTGAAGGTTTAGGTTATGGGAAATAAGCAGCACACAAGGCTGAGGAGGCAAGCTGCGGGCCACCGCTGGCACGGCGCAGGCAAAGTAACTTATACACAGAAAAATCCAGGGTGCACCACCTACACGTGGGACAGCAAGCTGACTGCCATGAGCAAATCTCAATTGCACTTAGGACTGGGAGTAAGCAGAGTTATAAATGACCAAAACTCAAGAAAGTAGAAACTCGTTGTAGGCAACATTTTGATCATCAATGTCAATAGTAGTTTTTAAAAATCTACTTCTTACTAGCTCTTCCCACTTTCAAACAAAACTGATAATTTGCACTAAACAAGTCAATATGCCCATGGTAAAAAGGGAGTGAGGGACAAGAATTATAAAAAGCTGGCTAGGTTACAAACAACTAAGATAATCAAGCTTTGACTGGGTCAGTAGTTGGAATATAAACATCAACAACTGATGTTTCTGGCACAAGAGGAAACTTAAAGATTACTGCAGACAAGACATACTTTCCCTGTCCAGACACATGTCTAGAATTACTAACGTACCAAAGTCTTCTTCCTTAACGATACAGATCACAGTAGTGGTAAGACTGCAAAGCGGCAATGCGAAATAGGCCGAGTTACAGACTTTGGAGTACAGACACACTTTTAAAATTCCCACTGTTCACTCAGGGGCGGTAACAGCAGAAGGAAGCGCCATGTCTCTGGCTGTACTTACCCAACTGCCAGCATGAAGCATGTCTATCACTGACTAGCAGGCTCCCCCCCCAAGCTGTCATAGCATGTAAAACACTAAGTGTGTGTGTTCGGTCTTGCTGCAGGCAGGGCACAAAAGGACAGGGTGGGAACAGAAGGTTTTGTACAGAAACTTGTGAATTCATAGGCTCTATAGTACCATCATTAAAATTACCGGATTCAAAGTGAACAGCCCTTTCCATTATTCTTGTGAGTAAGAACACAAATGCCTAAAATGTTTTAAACACTCAGACCTCAATTTCTATGATTTACCCAAAAAATAGAGTAAAAAAAAGATGGTTTATCTTTTCTGATAATCCATACAACATAAATGCTGCCATTTAGAATTTTTTAAATACTTTCTTTACATTGAATAATGATCACATAGGAAGTAAATATTTATAACTCTCATAACTTTATTGACTTTTAAAATGGACCCCTAACTGTGAGGGAAAAATTGATGAAAACAAGGGCAAGACCAAAAGAGGAAAAAAAAAGTCAGGCATGACTACCAGTTACTTAACTGCACCCTCTGCTGGTTAATCAAGGTAATAATAATTTATTGATAAAGACAGGAAAGAGAAATACAAAAATGAAACTGGTTGTTTTGTTAAAATAGTCAAATAAAGGGCAATTCACTTCCTATCTCTATTATAAAAACAATCTTAAAATAAAATTTATAGAGCTGTATTTTACTATATCACCTTTCAAACTACAAAAGCAATTTAAATATTTAAACAACTGAGTTTTCATCAGTGATGATAGTCACAACTCTCTTATGGTAAATTTTCTTTTCACTCTTTGATCCAATCCAGCAGGAGCAAGAATTAAGTTTACTACTCAAAACAAAGAAGCAAGAACATAATAGCCAACGAAAATGAGCCTGAAAGCCTCCAGTGTATCTTTTTCTGACTTCCATTATCACCTCACAGGGCTTTTGTGTGCATCGATTTATTTGCCATTAATGAAACTATTCTTTTGCTTCTATAATGCTTTAAATTCTTGGTTTCTATGAGATTTTAGTCATGTAAAATAGCAACTGTGGTTTGAAATACAAACAAAAGCATCCCCTATTATCTACGGTTCAAATGAGAATAAAGAATGTAACGTTTGGCAAAATAAGCTTTCTTGACCTGACAGGCACTAGGAACAAACCCAGTACTTCTACGTGGGGGGCAATGCAGGTGTCACTCAAGTACCTGAGGACTTCTTCTGCCTGCCAGGCGGCATCTTCTTCTTCTTCCCACGCATTGGTGTTTTCCTGCCAGGTATCTAAGTCGCCTAGTTCAGGCTACAGTAAAAAACAAAACAAGTACAATTGTGAAGAGCCATTCTCCCCACCCCGGGCAGTCAAGAAGAGCATCTTTAACCGCCTCCGTGCCTCCTCCAGTCCTACACAAAGCCCAAAGGATCTGTGCCCTGGTCTGCCTGGAACTGAGGGGTTCCTGCGACAGTCCTGGCAAGGCCAGCTTTTTTCCTATGTTGTTTTAAAGAATACTCCTCTAACACGAACTTTTCTCTTCTGCCCATTTTAGTTTGGAATGGACAAGAATAAAACAACTGTTCCTGTGTCCCTTTTCAGTCAGAGGAAGGGCTGGGGGTATGGGTGGGGAAAGGGGAGGCTGAGTTCCCCTAACTGGATGACTTGGAGCCGGGGGGTGACCTGGAAGAACTGAAATTTTCAGACTAGCACAGCCACCTGCACTTCAGCAGAGTCAACTGACAGATTTCTCAGTGGCACTTACTGTCTGGGTCCCAGGCAAAAATGACAAATCAGGGAAAATTTACTCTTTATCAGTGTACTTCTATATTGTGCTTACTTTTGCCTGTCCTACTTATCACAACCATAAAAGTGATAAGTTCCCCCCAACATAGAATGTGCAATTTAAAAGAAGAACTTCATTTGAGGAATGAGTGGTAAAATATTTTCGGTGTAGCGAATCAAGTGCAGGAGGTTACCAGTCTCTTGTAGGCAATCCCTCTTTGTTTTGTCTGCTCGGAAGGAAAATGTGTGGAAAAAGCACTGGAGACATTATCTACCCTCTTTTAACCCTTCCCAACCCTGTCAGCAGTTACATATTTATAACTTCATGAGCCATATGCATGTTATAATATCTCACAATTCCTGCTGGGTGGTATATGTGCACTAATTTACTGGTAAGGTCTGAACAACTTTACCAATCCAGAGCATGTGTACATGAATAATGTTTGTAATTTAGAAATATAAAATAAATATGACACATTCCGGTGATTATGCTCTTTTAGAGAAATATCTGTTTGCTACTGTGCTACCATGATACCATGTACCTGCAAAGGAGTTATCAAAATATGTAATATTTATTACATGTGTGATCATTTATTTAATACTGTGCCTTCCCCACAAGAATGCATACTCTGCAAGGACCTTGCCTGTTTTGCTGACTCTCCACTACCTTACTAGCACCTAGCTCAGCATCTGGCATTAGCAAAAATAGTTTTTGATCAATGAATAAGAAACAAAATAAACACAGGTCCCCTGAAGACTGAAAGGGACCTGTGCAGTTTAAACAAATGGAATAAATAGATGTGGTGACTTAAAACTATGTCTGCAAATTCTTTGATACTCCTCTTGAGTATCAAAGTGGTGGAGCATAATTCTCTCCTTGTGCTGGGCTGGATTCACTGGACTAGCTTCCAATGAATAAACTAATGTGGAGGTTGCAGTGTGTCACTTTTAGGACCAAGTTATAAATTGGCCTTGTGGCTTCACTCCTGCATGCTCTCTCTCTGGGGGGGGTCACTTGTTATAGGAAAGCCAGTAGTTACGTCATGAGGAAATGCAGGGAGCCCTGTGAAGTGATCCACAGCAAGGAACTGAGGCTCATGCAACCAACCAGCATTAATTTCCCAGGCATGTAAGTGAACCACCTGGGAATGAATCCTCAGAAGACCACAGCCCCAACTAATAACTTACAGGACACTCATCAGAAACCCTAAGCCAGAACCACCCAGGTTAGTCTCCCCTGGATTCCTGACCCACATACACTGTGTGAGAAGAAAACTGTTTACTATTGTTTAAGTGTGGGACTGTTATACAACAACAGATGACTCAGACAACCAATTAATAATTACTAATCAATAATCAATCAAAGCATATTTAAACTTTGATTTAATCAATCAAAGCATAAGGCTGGACCTTAGTGGTTTAAAAAGTTCAAAGGTGATTCTGAAATGTTTCCAAGGTTAAGAACCACAGTTATATACTTTCCTCCCTACTTTTGTCCTTAAAGGTGCTGCATTTGGGTCAAACACATTTAAACTCAAATCACACTTTAAAAGTAAATAAAAGCTACTAGGGAAACAATACACAACTCACTAAAAATAACAGGCTATTACGGTTAGGTTTTAGTGGTAATCTCTTTAAATGTCATATTTTCTAGTAACACTTTGTCTCTGTCTTTCATGTGTACAATGGGACTGTGATTGCAGATTCAGATGTAATTTACAATCTCTTCAAGGACAGGAGGAGTAAAAGACCAGATGCACCTCTCTCAGTCTGCTCAACCCGGTTCAAAGTCACAGAAATATTAAGACAAACACTAAGTTCAATGCACCTTTATTTTTTTCTTCTTTAAAGAAAACAGAATAAAAAACAACCCTTGCTGAGATACCAGTGACATACTTACTGACTGATGAATGAAAGGCATGTCCTGAGTGGCTGCTAATCTACTGGAGAAACCTGTGCTGCCATCTGGGATGCCAAAATTTAGTGGTTCTCTCTTCTTAACAATGATCTGCAAGGTTAATTGAAATAGAATTATAGGAATATTTTATACATCACTATATAAAGAGAGACAAAATAATTTACTGAACAAAGCATTTTATAGTTATTTAAAATAGTTCTACCTGTCTTCTTTTAAAATTCGCAATGTAAGAAAAAATTTAAATAGTCTATAAAAAGCACCAAAATTCCCAGGCAATTGTCACATGGATCAGTTACATACTGAGAAACATTGTATTTCACTTAAAAATATAGTAATAAATTTTCCTCTTTCTCCTTCCTCTTTCCCAGACTGTAGATCCCCAAAATGTAATTAGGTATTTTTAGTCACAGTATTAAGTAAGAATATGTATTATGTCCTATCAAAAGTATAACCTGCTCTCTGTACATGTGGAAATTCATAGATTTCTCTGAATTTCATAGAAAATTTCATAATTTCTCTGAAATCATAGAAAATCTATGAACTTCCACATGTACAGAGCAAGCAAGAAAGGATTTTCATTTTAATTAATTTATTAAGGTACCATTGTAATATACTGGGTTACTATTAAGAGCTGCAATATATTTCCAAAATACTACAAAACTCACTTCAATTCCTTAAAAAATATACCACTTAATGCTTTTCAGCATGGAGACATTTGGACAACTCAACAAAAACAATTATGATTACAGAATGAGAATGTTATCAGTCCTGAAAATTTAACAATAAATATCCAGCTGAAATTGGATGAAAGGTAGAATAAGTAAGGTCAAAAGGTGAATTTATAAAATATTTTCTATGTTTGACTGAAGAAATGAAACTTTAAGGTTTTGTTTTGTTTTTTAATAGCAGTGACTGGTGAAGTAGACTGGAATAATAACATAAAATTTGAAAGAAGGGGACGCAGGTAAGGGTAGTATGAAATAAACCCTCATTTGCCAAAGTATGAAGTCAGTGGACAGTGTCTGTCAACGGTGAGTCAAGACAGCAACATGAGCCCAAACAGAAAAAGTCATTAGTGGTTGTGTCTGGGAGGTAGAACTACCCAGAAAGAGCATTGGGGCAAAAGTCTGTTGCTTTTCTCTATAAGCTCCTCTATAGTCTATGATTTAAAAATACTTTTTCAAGTATATGTACTATTTGGTTTTAAAAAAGAAAAATACTCAGCCACTGCTCTTTTTCCCTTATATCCCTGCATCCATATTCAACTTGAAAGGATTAAATGAAGTATTAACGACTAACACAAACCCACATCACTCCAAGTTCTCAACTCTATGTTAGGAACGATGGAAAGCACTTATCAGTTTGCCGACATCACTAAACTGTGAACTCTTTCAAGGCTGGACTTGTATCTTATTCAGCTTAGCCTTCACAGCAGACACCGGAATACAGACTCTGATATACAGTAGACTTTCAAATAAATGTTTAGATATAATTTTTAAAGGAGCACAGATCACTAGATCTGTGTCCAGGTCACTTGAATACATAAAATTCATCTTCAAGGTGACAGATACAACAAATTAATCATTAGAAATAGGCATTCTCAGAATATTAATTATTAGAATACTGTCTAATTTTCACTATGGGAATCTGAAAAGCAGTTTAATTGCTGAAAGTACAAATCTTTAACATACTTTCTGAGTTTTCCTTATAGTTGGTGTCATGTCCTTAAAATAGTCAGGTTCCAGTTGTTCCAAAGAATTTTGCTGTGTTGCCACGTTCCCGTTCCCTCCTTCAATCTTCACACTTGTGGGCGCATCTTCATCCCAGGAAGTCCACTCTTCGACATCCGTCTGAAGTTAATTGATCGACACTGTCAGCCATGCAGGGTGAACCTAATCGACATCTCCTTCATTGTTTATTGGAAAAATGGGCTTGCTAAAACATGAGCTTCAAATGTCTTTGACCAACAGGGAAATAAAAATTTTATTTCCTATACCAAAACTACATGAAAAGTTAAAAAAAATACTTTTACTCCCATGTAGACATTCTGTCCTATCCATTTAAAATAAACAAACAAAAAAAGCAAATGCTTTGAAAATTGAACGGACATTAGAACTACAGCCAACAAAAGTATTGAAACTTGCAGCCTAAGCCTGACCAGGTCAATTGCCTGATAAACTAAAGAATATAGACATTCTTGACAGGATTTAAATAAGATAAGAGTCTCAAACATATTCAGAATGTCCATGAAATAACCCAAAATTATTCAGCACAAAAAGAAGCAAGAAATTGCTTCTCAACTGACATGGACAAAGTCAATCAAGATATAAATGCTGGAATTATCTAAGACTTTAATATATAACTATTGTAAATGTGTTCCAACAAGCAATAGCAAATGCTCTTAAAACCAATAAGAAAAAATAGAAGACCTCAGCAAAAAAAAAAACAAAAAAAAACAGAAAATAAGGAACCAGAAAAAAAAATTATAATAAAAATATGTAACAACAACAAAAATCAAGACCCTGACTTCCAATTATTTTCACGACAGAGTAAAGGATCTGCAACTCAGTTTAAAAAATATGGTTCTGGAACATTTATTCAAACTTTAAAGAAAATTACCTGTTTTGGAACTGATGAATAATCCACTGTAGTTGGCAAAGTTATTTGGTCTCCACTTAATTTCCGTCCTCTGCCAGATCTAAAACAAAAATGAAATAATTTATTTCAAGAACTACCAAAGCAAGCATAGGTAAAAGCACTGTGGACAGTAACTTAAGGCTTATAAAAAATATTTTCTGAATTTAGAATTATTTATTTTAACAATTAACAGTTTCTCAGTAAGATATGAAACAAAAAGCATGCATCATATATCTTCCGTATTTAATATCTTGGATCATACAATAAGCATAACTGCTCCTTGGCTTAGAACCCTGAATTACAGCCAAACTCAGGAGGAATATAAAGCCAAAACCAAAAATGCAGTGGTTTCGAATCATGCAACTTGGATATCTGTGAGTCCTGTAGGTGAAGCTCTGGGACACCTGTGCTGTTTCAACCAGGGGGACTTGGCTTTTGTTTTACATATTTGGCTTCTTGGAAAGTTTACGGATTAAATTGATAAAAAGTTTGAAAATCACTGGGCTGAACTAAACTGTAACCGATAAGTTTTAAGAAGTATGTCCTGGCTGGTGTAGCTCAGTGGATTGAGTGAGGGCCTGTGAACCACACGTTCGCGGTTTGATTCCCAGGCAGGGCACATGCCTGGGTTGCAGGCCAGTTCCCAGCAGAGGACTCATGAGAGGCAACCATACCTTGATATTTCTCTCCTGCTCTCCTTCCCTTCCTCTCTAAAGATAAGTAAATAAAATCTTTAAAAAAATAGTAGGAAAAGTATTATATTAAATAAAATAGGTATTATAAATCAGATGTTGAAGGCATAGACTATGCAACCTGTGTAAACCATGATTTTCTATGTTATTTCTATTATGCATCTAGTTGGAATTATCTAACCTCTCAGCCTCAAAATGCTCACCTGTAAAATGCAGGTATTAAACCTATTTTTTAGGGTTGTTGTGAGGATTTAATTAAGTGATAATAATTAAAGCAACTAGACACTAGATAGTACCTGCTATGTAATATTTTAAAAAGGTAGCTATTATAAATGATCAGTCACTTGCTTCTTTTCAAATAATCTATAATGCCTCTATTAGATCTAATTGCCAAAATCAGCTACTTTTAATATGAAATTGGAAATATACTTTTTTAAAAGGATAAATAAAAAAGTAATTACTACTAAATTTATGATGTAAACCTGGTATTTTAGAGGACATATTTAGGTTCCTTCTGATACTTTTAAAAAAGCTTATTCTAAAAAAGGGTTAATTTTCTTAAAAACTGAACATAAAATCAATCCTAATTATATTTACATAGACAATAGAAATTTATGTGACAAATGTCCTAAATATTTTAAAATCAAATGTAATTTCTTATATTAAAAGCAATGCATATTCAACAGAAGTTTTAGAAAATAGAGATTCAAGACCAAAATCACTCTAATTTCCACTACTGTTTTTTTTTAAGATTTTATTTATTTATCTTTAGATGGGAAGGAGAGAGGGAGAGAAACATCAATGTATGGTTGCCTCTAGTGCATCCCCTGCAGGGAACTGGCCTGCAGGGAACCTGCCTGCAACCTAGGCATGTGCCCTGACTGGGAATCGAACCGTGATCCTCTGGTTTGCAGGCCCACACTCAATCCACTGAGCTACACCAGCCAGGGCTCCACTACTGTTAACATAACTACTTCTTTTAACCTCTGGACTCTGGCAATTTAATATTCACTCTTGTCATGCTTTACCTAGTGAATTTCTGGCCGTTGTCCTCATGCTCTATCTGAATGATTTTGAGCACTTTTTCCTACTTCCCAAATCCTGTCCTCTGAGTGACTTCAATATCACCTAAATTTCCCATTTCTTTCTTGACCTCTTATCCAGCAATCATCTCCACTCATTCGTACAGTCATACCCTGAACCCTGCCTTCTTTTTGAAATCCCAGATCACTCCAATTCTAACAATAAATTCAGTAACACTTAATCTTCAGGGTTTTGGTAATTATAAAATGGCCACTTTGCTCGAGAACACTCCCTTGCAGCTAGGGGGCCATACGTAACTAAGCTCTGAACAGCAAGCTGAGAACTGAATAGTTCTGTGTAACATCTAAATCGCGTTCACTGAAAAGGAGAGCTGAGTGCCCTCCAATCCCTATGCTTAATGTACCAATATCCTCAGGTCAAAAGAAATACCTAACAGTTCCACTGATTATGTAAGTAGGCCCAAACAACTTAACACTTATATATGTCCTAACTGCTTAGTAGCCATTTGAAAAAAACAATACATTGTCAATTTTAAGAAAAATAATACTTTTCCTTCATTTTTAAGCACACCGACTTACTATCAGAATGTGCATGCCTGCTGGACACCACACAACTCTTCAAGCCTTGCAATCAGATTGACTACTGCCACCCTCCTTTTCTGTTCTACAGTAATTTTGGTTCAGTACTTGCTTTTAATTACAGTCTAAAATCCTAGCTTTGCAAAGAGAAGTCACCAAAAATACAAGTAAACAAAAACTTATCTCAAACATTCAAGAACGTCCTCAAAAGTAGTACTATAGGATCTAATGTTGCAAATGCAAACTTCTCTGAGCCCATCATTTAAAAGATGTTGACTATTACATTCACTGTGCTTTGCTGAAAAATTAAAAATACCCTGTGACCCTCCTGTGAGTTCAGTGCGAAGACCTGAAGTGCCTGAACACAGTTTAGAAACTGCAGAAATTCAGTCTCTGGATGAGTTACAGAAGCAGAATGACTTTTCTGAACGATGCTACATGTACATTCTGGCATATTATTTGAGACTAAGTTTAAAAAAGAAATGACTTTACTTGGGGTTTCTCTGTTAAAGTTTTTTAAATATAAAAATAACATTCACATTGTAGTCTATAAAGAAACACCTATTGCTAATTCAACCTAACCATCTTATGACACTCTGATATGAAACAACTGTATCCATCAAAATCCTCTGATAATTTTAATAATGAAAATTAGTTTTCTTATTTCTGAAATTCTACAGTGCTAGAAATGTTACTTTAATGGAATATGATTTTCAAAGAAAAAAATCTGAAGTGGAGAAAAATATTTTAGAAATACTAGAAATTGGTGAATGAATCCTACAATCAAGAAATTTAGTTTAAATACAGTCCGTCCTGCTGCTTTATAGTTATGAAGGTATTCAACTACAGAGGAGATAAATAGGTCAATCTGAACGTAAAATTTGTTTACCTGCATATTAATCTCTTTAGGAATGAGAATATCGTTGCTAAGCAGGTACAAACTCTGAACAACCGAAACTGTGTGACAGCCATGGTGGGAAGCAAAACCTGTGGAAAGGGCACAAAAATCAATGCGTTAAGTGAATTTCATAGGCTGTCCCCCTGTTCTGAAGTCATGTTTAAAAGTCCTATTATAAGCTGTGAAAACCAGGCATATTTTTACTTTTCTTTATGATTATTTATTTTACTTTTCTTTACTGTGCTACATATATAGCATTCTTTCTTCTTTCTCCCTTCCTTCTCCTCTCTCTAAAAAGAAATAAAAATAAAAACTTAAGAACAATGTAAATCATTAGAGGTCCAGGATGGTGGCAGTGAAGGCCACTGAACTCTCTTCACCCTCTCCGATGAGCAAACTCATATACAGACAATAATTACTACTGTACACCTGAGAGCTGAATAAACAGCATCTGAACAACAAACAAGAGAAAGAGACCAAATAGAGCAGGCTGGGAAGCAATAGGAGCTGCAGGAACTCTGTGGTCAGGAGGAGCCAGTGAGGACCATTTTTTGTTTCCCCCCACTTCCATATGGTAAAGTGGGGGGCTCTATCCCTGGGCTCTGACTTATCTGCAAGATCACCACAGCTGTTCCCAGCTATATTGCCCTGAGCTTTTTGCCTTGGGAACAATGGGATCAAGCAGGAAAAACAGGGTGGCATCAAAACAAAAACTGTAAAAACTAGCAAAGTGATACCAACAGAGAAACAGCCTGTCCAGACCTCTGGGAGTGGGCTGAGGAACAGACAGGGCCACTGGGAAAAATGGAGCTAAGCCGTGGAATTGAAATATGGAAGCTACTTGTGCACTAAGCTATGCTCCTCCAAGATGCAGGTCAGAGATTGGAGCACTGAGGGTGTGGCCTGCAGCCCATCCAAGCCTTTACAAAGCCACGTTGAGGAGTAACTGAGCGCTGGCCTTGTGGACGCCCTGCCTGGGTGCAAAGGTCCTGCTTTTGCTGCATATGCCCAGCTCCTCCCACTCAGGATGCTGTCAGTGCTGCCTAAGAGGGCATGCAGGGTTTCCAGGGTTCCTTTCTCTGCCAGTGGGCCACAAGTATGAGCAACTCACTGCATGCAGGACTAGGACATAGGAGCCTCTCCCATCAGCCATGCAGTGGCAGGGGACAGTTCTTTCAATGAGCATGAGAAAGGCTAGAAAGGTAGTCGATTAAGAGGAAAAAAAGACCTCTGACCCACTCTGGTACCAGATAAGGAGTGAGATCAGGGGAAGGCAGGCACCTATGCAACAGAAGTCAGAATGGAAGCAGGAGAGGTACTGGACCAGAGAGGCCTGTCAATGTAGCCCAGGGAGAGAAGGGACTGGTTGGGAGGTGGAGCAAGCAAAGCCCCTCATTCCACCAGAAAGTCATATAAACCCAGGAAAACAAAGAAACTCGCTTACCCCTCACTGCAGTTCAAGACCTATACTCAGATGGTACACTGGCCTCCAGGAGAAAATGCCTCTCTTTCTCCCTCTCTTCCTCCCCCTCTTCTCTCTCCTTCTGTGACCTGGTGAAACATTCACCAGTGCATTTGTGTGCTCTCAGACCTAGGAGCACAGGACCATGTGGCCCTAGCTAATGCATGGCTATGGCCACACTGGTTCTACACGCTCACTCCAGGAGGGAAACTGAAGCCAGACAGCAGCTGGGAACAAGTTTAGCTGCCTGGATGACTGCTCAGCAGCTGGAGCTCCATAGAACTGTACTTTACAGTGGAGCAGGACTGCCATTTGTCTTGATCTTGCTGAGGACAGCTAGGCTTTGTCTGGGTTTAGCAGAGGAGAGGCACTTTGAGATGGGGAGCTCCCCATGGTTCCAGATCATTCAGCATTCAAATAAAAACCTTCTTCCTTTCTTACCAGCCTCTGACTCTAGAGTTTGCCTTTTGTGGCAGTGGCCAGCTGAACCCCCATTATTGTTCAGTAACAAAACAAAAAGGGGAAAAAGCAAGAGAAGAAAAGAAAACTCAAAACCAAAATACAATGGACAAAATGGCAATAAGTATATGCTTATCAATAATTACTTTAAATGTAAAGAGATTAACTGCTTCAATGACACGTATGGTGGCTGAAGAGATTAAAAGAAGATAATTCACTGAAAATTGAAAAGAAAGATGATGTAGGAATACTCATATCAAACAAAATATACTTCAAAACAAAAAATGTAAAAAGACAAATAAGGATATTATATAATTATAAAGCAGTCAATCCAAGATGAAAATATAACAATCATAAACATCTATGCACTGAAATATATGCAATTATTAATGGTCACAAAAGAACATTCACAGTAATACAATAATGGGGATTTTAATACCTCACTCACATCAGTGGATCTTCCACACAGAAAATCAATAAGGAAATAATAGCCTTAAATGCTACATTAGACCAAATTGACTCAATAGGCCCACATAGAACCTTTCATTCCAAAATTGCAAAATACTTATTTTTACAAGTACACAGTGGATGACAAAGCAAGCCTTACCTAATTTGAGAAAACTGATATCATATCAAGCATCTTCTTTGATCATAATGGCATAAAATAAGAAATCAATTAGGGAAAGAAAACTGAAAAATGGCAAATGCATGAGACTAAACATAATGTAACTCAACAGCCAATGGGTCAAAGAAGAAATTATGTGTTGCTTGATAATTAACCATGTCAGTAACTGGTTGGAAAATTTATCTTGGAAATAATATCACTAAATTTCTAAGAATGTTTATTGTTAGTGAGGTATTCTTGGATTTTGAATTAAACAGACCTAGGATTGAATCAAAGTCATTGAGTGTGGGAACACGGAAATAATATTTTACTCTTTGTGCTTCAGTTCTATGAAATGAGAGTAATACTGTCTATTTCATAAGGTGACAGTATGAGTTACTTGAAATAATACTAGATAGTGGTTGGCACTGTACCTCGTCACTGAGTATTAGTTCCTCTCTTTTATTAATCACTAAAGCAAATATTCTGCCAGTAAGAAAATTCTTAATTGCTAGGGTGAGAATTTTATTCTGTTATCAATAGTAGTTCCACTTTCTATTTTTCTGTTAGAACAACTGGAAATTTTAATTTCAGTTACCACCAAAATCATTCAAGTTGAAAAATACTTACTGAACAATGGCACAAAACATACAGGTGATGACCCTGCATATGATTATGAACAACACAAGTACATGTGCTTTCATCACTTCTATTAAACACTGTAGTGGAAGCACTGGCCAGTGCAATCAAGCAAGAAAAGGAAATAAAAAGCATCCAGATGGAAAGGAAGAAATAAAACTGTGCCTAAATGGAAAATCCAATGAAATCTATAATCAACTATATTTTTTACATGTTAGCGACAATCACAAATTAAAACTTTAAAACAATTATGAGCCTGAGTCAGGTGACTCAGTTGGTTGGAGTATTGTTCCCATACACCAAAAAGCTGCAAGTTTGATTCCCAGTCAGGGTACATACCTAGGTTGCAAGTTCAATCCCCAGTTTCGATGCATACGGGAGGCAACTGACAGACGTTTCTCTCTCACATCAATATTTCTCCCTCTCTCTAAAATCAATAAAAACATATCTTTGAGGATTACAAATAAACAAGCACAAAATATATGAAATATTTAGGCACAAATCTGATGAAAGCCTTATATAGTAAAAACAAAAAATATTTCTGAGAGAAATTTAGAAGACGTGAAGATCAACTTAAAAAGACCTTTTAGGTCTCAAAGAGTCAATACTGTTAAGATAGCAAGTCTCCCTAAATTTAACTATAGATTCAATGCATTACCAACAAAAATCTCAGCAGGATTTTTCCTCCAAACTTGACAGGATAATTCTAAAATTCACACAGAAATGTAAAGGGCCTATACTAGCCAAAACAACACTAAAAAACTATGTAGAAGGCTAATATTACCTGATTTCAAGACTTGTTAAAATGGACAACTGGCATACATATGAACAACAGAAATTTGACAAAGATGTGAAAGTGGTTCAATGGAGAGAAGGCAGTCTTTTTGACAAACAGGGCTGGAAAAACTGGCTATCCATATGCAAAAAAAACAAAAACAAAAAACAAAAGAAAACCTTCAATCTGTGTCTTACACCATTTAGAAGAAGGACTCAAAATGGATCATAGACCTAGATATATAACCTAAAACTAAACTTCTAGAATTAAAAAAAATAGGATAAAATCTTTTTGGCCCTGGGTTAGACAAAGATTTTATTAGATAGTTATGACACCAAAAGCATAATCCAAAACTGTTAAATTGGGCTTCATTAAAATTAAAAACTTCTACAATTCAAAAACATTTAAAAGAATTAAAAGACAAGCCACAGACTGGGAGTCAATCTTTGTAAAGCATATATCTGGTAAAGGGCTTGTATCCAGAAAACATAAGAACCTCTCAAAACTCAGTAAGAAAACAAATAATCCAATTAATAAATGGGCAGGTCTGACTAGACAGTTCACCAAAAAAGAAACACAATGGTAAATAAGAACATGAAACAATGGTAGACATCGTTAATCAGAGAAACACAAATTAAAACTAGTTAAAAACCATTACACACCTATCAGAATGGCTCATTAAAACAATGACTATCCCAAGTACTGGTGAGGATGTGGAACAACTGTAACCATCATACACTGGTAGTGGAAATGTAAAATGATACAGTCATTCTAGAAAACAGTTGGTGGTTTCTTACAGGGTTAAACAAACATGTACCATATTACCTAGCCATTCTACTCCCAGGAATGTCCCCAAGATAAATCAAAGCACATACCTATACAAAAACTAGTACTTGAATAGAAGTTTTACATTTAATAGCTTGAAAATGAAAACAACCCAAATATATATCAACATGTAAATGGATAAGCAAATTGTGGCACAAACTTATAAAACTGTTCAACAATAAAACAGAATGAACTGCTATTGCAAATAGTGTGGCTATGTTTGAAAAAAATTACCCCGAATGACAGAAGCTACACACAAAAATAATACATACCATATGATTCCATGTTTTTTAAAAACTCTCAAAAATAAAAAGAAGTCTATAGTGACAAAAAGTAGATCAGCATTACCTTGGGATGGGGAAGGAAAAGGTGGGAAGGATGGATTACAGAGGGGCATGATGGATATACCTGCTATTTTGATTATGGTTATGGTTTCATAGGTGTATACACATTCATCAAAACTGGTAAAATTGTACACTCAAATATGTGCAGTTTACTATATGATTATGTGCCAATTATAGCAAAAAATCTATTAAGACATTTGTGCTAAGAACACATTTTTCAATAATATTATGTCACTTAGTAAAGTTTTCAGATTCTAGTTAGAATCTTTTGTTTAATCCTCATCCGAGGACATATTTACTGACTTTAGAGCAAGTGGAAAGGCGGAGATAGACAGAGATAGAGAGAGAGGCATCAACTGGTTGCCTCCCACACACCCCCAGACCAGGGATCAAACCCAGGACCAGGGATCTGATTAGAATCTTTAAAAAAGTCATTAATACCACCATTCTGTATAATTTGTAACTCTTTCTGGAGAACCAATTTCCATTAGTATTTAAAAACTGGGGAGAGGAGTAGGCCTCAAGGATATACAATAGTCTCCCCTTATCTGTGGTTCTACTTAGGGCAGTTTTGGTTACCTATGGTCAAGTGTGGTCTGAAGATAGTAAATGGAAAATTACAGAAATAAACAATGCATACATTTTAAATTGCACACATTTCTGAGTAACATAATGAAATCACCTGCTGTGTGCTCTATCCCCCCCCCAGGACATGAATCATTCTTTTGTCCAGTGTATCCATACTAAAAACTCTACCTGCCTGTTAGCTACTTAGTAGCCATCTTGGTTATTAGATAGACTGTCCTGGTATCCCAGTGCTCTTCTTCAAATAACCCTTATTCTACTTAATTAATGATTGTGCCTAATTTATAAATCAAACTGTATAGCAGGTACGTGTTACAGGAAAAAGACGTATGTGCAGAACACAGAGTTCAACACCATCTGTGGTTTCGGGCATCCACCAGGGGTTGGAACATATCCCCCAGGGTTAAGGGGGGACTTACATAGGCTACATGAATGAAGAGCTGAGAGTCAATGTCATATAGATGCTTGGTAACCAGAGTTATCACCCTGCCAAAAATGTGTGTCATTGTGCAGTAAGTATTTAACTTATATGACTCCAGTGGTAACTGGAAATAAAACTTCCAGTTGTTCCAACAGAAAAACAAAAAGTGGAACTTTTTGGTTGGCCAAAAAGTTCGTTTAGTTTTTCCCGTACGATGGCTCTAGTAGTGTTTAGTTGTCTTGAACTCATTCAAAACAGTTTTGTTAGACTGCATTGTGACAGTTAACATATCAGCATGCATTTTTTTAAAATTCTTATCAAAATCAGTGAATTTTTGTGTAGCCATTTGAATACTGAATATGGAAAAAATATACATTTTCAGCAAGCTATGCTTTATTATTTCAAGAAAGGTAAAAATACAACTGGAATGCAAAAAAAATTTGTGCAGTGTATGGAGAAAGTGCTGTGACTGATTAAATGTGTCAAAAGTAGTTTGTGAAGATTCATGCTGGAGATTTCTCGGAAGACAACACTCCACATTCAGGTCTACCGGCTGAAGTTGAGAGCCATTAAATCAAGATATTGAGAAAAATCAACAAATGTTATACCACACAGGAGAGAGCTGACATACTCAAAATATCCAAATCAGTAAAGTTATTGATGAAAATGAAACGTGTTTTATTTTATGGAAAAAACTAAAAGGACTTTTTGGCCAACCTAGTATCATTGACAACAGAATAAAATTCTCAATTAAAAATTGAGCAATTAAGAATTTCCTTATTCTGCAGAATATTTGCTTTTGAAATGAATGAAAGAGAGGAACTGTCCATGTACTGCCTGCCAAGCACTGCCTAATATTATTTCCGGTAACTCATACTGTCATCTTACAAGATAGACAGTATTACTCCCATTTCATAGAACTGAAGCACAGAGAATAAAATATTATTTCCATGTTCTCACACCCAATGACTCTGATTCAAACCTAAGTCTATTTAATTCAAAAGCCAAGAATACCTCACTAACACTAAACATTCTTAGAAATTCTTTCAGTACAATTCATTTCAATGAAGATATATACTTAGCACCTACTATGTAACCAATTCTATCAAAGATAGAAAACACTACTGATCCACTACAGAGAAACTGTGTCCACTGCTCAGTTGTCACAAACTTGTAACAATGCAAGAGAAGGAGGCCGAGTCCCCATCAGTCTTGCTCAGTTAGTATTTTACATCTTAGCCCATGCCAATCATAGTAGGTGACTCAAGTACCTATCTGTTGATTGAACAGAAGTTCACATTCCTTGAGCACTCAATATGTTCAAGACATAGTTTTAGAGCAGCGATTTTCAATCTTTCTCATCTCATGGCAAACAAGCTTAATCACCAAAATTCTGTGCCACACCAAAAATGTATTTTTTGCTGGATAAAAATAGGTGTAATTTTGATTCCTTCATACCAGATGACTATTGTTGTGCTGGCTGTTATCATTTTTTTTTTAATTTGACAACCTGAGGGAAAAGAGGTTGGTGTTTCTGACTAAATAGTCAGGAATCACATGTTTTAAGAATTCTGGCAGCACCTTAAGAATTCTGGTGTGTGCCTCTCGCAGTACACCAGCTGAACCTTGCTATTCTAGACAATGTATGTTCCATCACCTCACCGTAATCTCAAGAAAAGATGAGGATGACAGTGAAGCTCAGATTCACTCATGCAGGAATTACATGGATTGAACCCAAAGCTCCAGCTCTCCTCACACCATACACATCCCATTTGTGAAACCTTTAATTTGATACTCATTGCCTCAGTTTAATTTTTGAAATGGCCTCTAGATGACCAACTTGATAAGAATGCATCTTAGGCTAACTCGCACTTTGATTGCTTCAAAATACTTTGTAGGACTAAATAATACTAATCTAATCTTAAAATTAAAATTTCTTTAAAAAACACAAAAACTTGAGATTTAGTAGAATAAATTTCACAATGCAACCAATCCTCAGGGCTTTTGTAGAAAAGACATCTGGAGGAAATCAATAGGAATGTCACCTCAGCTATGTCAAGCGGAAAAATTCACCTACGGTAAAAACAGTACTACATTAGAAATTGAAAGACTGTCTTTCCTCCTTGTAATTCCATGAAACATGCTGGCGCGATCTTTTCAGTAGTCACCGTATTACAATTTGTTAAACAACCCAATCTATGTCGATACACACTGGAGCAAACAAGTCACTAATCTATTTCTAAAACTAGGCATTCTGAATTTTTTTAATACCAACATTTGAAAAGCCATATGCTCTAGTGCAGAATGAAATATTCTCAGTTAAGTATGTAACTCTCTGAACTGGGTTAAGGAATGACAAGGCTCCAAAAATAAACTTTACTTGAACTCAAATTTCAAAAACCAAAGTTTGGCAGCGTCAAGAGAAGGGGAACTAGTAGAATGTGAAAGCAAGTTCTAAGTCAAACACTTTACCACGTCTGGCAACTCAAAGACAGGCCCTCAAATACGTGGCACTTCTGAGACTCTTATAAAGGCAGAGTTAAGGCCTCCAGAACGACTCAAAAGTAAGGAGTTTCACGGCCAAAATGCTTTATAACTTCAGATTACCCACCTAAAACTGATGAACAACAAGATCATACCCACTGTACAGATGAGAAAAACGAAAGGAGCGCTTTCAGGTTACCCAATCCGACGCCATGCGCACGGCGTTTTCGGAAACGCTCCAAATTGCTAAAAGTGGGTGCCAGGTGGGATGTTTATTTGGATTGTGGAAAAACCTGCCTGGGAACGAACACGATGTGCAGAGGAACGACAGATAAGACGGGCAAAGACGGGCAAATTTCCCTGCTGGGGCGGGGGAATTTGCCGAGCCTCGGGGGTTTTCTGGACTGCGCCCCGCGGCCCGACCTCCCACGCGTCGGCACTGCACCAGGAGGGCTGCACGCCCGCGGCCCACTCCCAATCTCCCTTCCCTCACCCCGAGGTCATCCTGACCCGGAAACAGTAGCCCAGACCATCCGAGAGCCACAGGGGGGGGAAACCAGCGAGAGGGGCGAAAAGGAAGGTGGGAGGGAGGGAAGTGCGAAGCCGAGAAGGGGGCTGACCCGACGAGTAGAGGATACCCCAAGGCCGAGACTGCCGTGGGGATGGGGAAGGGAAGCCCCTCGCGGGCGCGCGCGAGCCGCACACACTCACCTGCCCCTCCCCCTCCCGCCCGCCCGGCGGAGCCTCCGATACGCCGCGGGCCACACGCGCACACAAGGCGCGCGCACGCGCGCTGGCGTTTGCTTGTCCGAGCTCCCGCTCCGCGCGTTCCGCCTCAACCCCGCTCATTCAAAGCCGGGCGCGCGCTTCGTCGCCGGCGCCGTTGCCGCCGCGCAGCCGCCATGACCGCCCCCTCATCAAGAAGCCCTCCCCTTGCTCCTCCTTTTTTGCCCTCCTTGGAAGGAGGCTCCCGGTTCTCTCCAGACCCGTACTTCCGCACCCCGCCCCGGTCTTCCTGGACCAATAGGCTAGAGGCTGTGGGTCGGGCTTTGGGGCATACAGCCAATGAGCGCCGGAGGGCGGGACGAGCAGCAGCCGCTTGTGTGCCTGAGACCTCCTCCTGGGTCGGATTTTTGACTTTGCTGGCTGCAGTGACTGCTCCATCGCCCTTGATGTTCCCAGTTTTTTCCGTGTGGCCCAGGCCCAGCCTTCTGTCGAGTTCCTCAGCCCCAATACGTCCCTTGTTGTTCTGCCCTCCACCGTATGGGACCAAGAGAAAGCTATGTTAACAAAAAAATTAGGGCGCCCCCACGGTATGGCTGTGCTTTTGAACGTTGGGTAGTAGTAGGCCCCATCTCAATCATTCTGCCGTCCGAGGGGGTGCCGAATGCTGTTTAAGTTCAGACTTAGACTTCTCCGAGTCATGCTTGATTGAATTCCCTTTAACTGGAAGTTAAAAATGACACTAGTCCGCAGGCAGCCTGGGTTAGCCGCTCTCCCCCACTAAGGTGTTTTTTCTATGTTTTTCTCTTAGAAACCTGACTTTTGATTCTTTTTATCCTGTGTTACCGAAAGGCTAGGGCTCTGCCATTTCGGACAAGGAGCCCTCAAAAAACTATCTGCTCCACGGTCGGCAAAGCGACTGGTGAGGGACAGACGTTTGTATGGTCCAAGGTTGATAGTAGTTCATGCAAATTGTTCCCCAACCAGATTTTACGTTTTCTGCCCTTCTTTGGACGACAACTACCTTCGTGCTGTCATCCTGATCTGCACTTAAAGACCCACTTCACTTTCTGGAACCCCCATCCGAATCCCATTCCAATCTGTGCTGCATTTCTATTAATGCTTTAATTTGTTTACTCCCCAAAGGAGCAGGGAATGTTTATGACTCTCGGTATGAAATGATTCTGTGTAATTTTGGGTGTTATTTCATCTAGAAACTTCAGGATTTTATAACAATAAAATGGCCATAATAGTGCCTGCATCATGGAATGGCAAATGCTTGCAAAACTCTACGGGCAGAGCCTGGCACAGAGCAAACATTCACAGATAAGAGCTGTTACTACCTTTGCTACTAATACACTACTCCATCATTCCCAGTTATTACACCTCCCTGAGCCCACCAAACCCCCTGCAGTCCCTTGAACATTGCATTAACCTTAATTTCTTCGAACAGTAACTCAGATAATTCAGAACTCCAGTAATTCAGAATTTCCAAAATGACTTTGGATTCCAGAAATCCAATAATCCAAAATAGCCTACATTCAGCATTATGCTAAGTGTAATAAATCAGTCAAAAACACAAGTACCATATAACTTCACTCATGTGGAATCTAATGAACAAAATGAACCAACAATCAAAAGAGAGAGAGACTCATAGATGGAGAGCAGGCTGACAGCTGTGCAGGGGTTGGGGGGCTGGGCGCTGGGGTATGGAGGGATTGAGCAAAAAAGAAAAAGCCCATGGACACTGACAACAGGGTGATGATTGGCAGCACTGGGGCAGATGGAGGAGGGTACCAGGGGATAAATGGTGATGGATGGAAACTTGACTTGGGGTGGTAAACACACAAGACAGTGTACAATTGATGTGTTGTAGAATTGTGCACCTAAAACCTATATAATTTTGTTAACCAGTGTTGCCCTAATAAATTCAATAAAGGGAGGAAGATAGCCTATATCCTGACATACATGTGTTTTCAAAAGTTTTTCCTTAGATAGAATATCTTTGCTTCAAAGTATGTATTATACCTCTATGATATTCTCTTATTTTATAATTCTTCAGTGCTTTTTATTAAAGGTGTCATTTCCAAGTGAAACAACAAAAAGTATATGCTTTTCCAAAAACAGTGAATACTTCTTTCAAAGTATTTGAAAGAATACTTTCAAATGTTATTTCACAATAACAAAACAAAGTTTGCTAAATATTGTACACTTGATATTTACTTTTCAAATACCTATAAAAGAATATCTTTAAATCATTTTTACTCTAGTTGAGTAGTAATCCCCTAATTGGGGCCACAGGTGCCAGTAATTGGGCATCTTGGTTGGGGACCACCTCTTGGGAGTGTGCAGTATGAAGTCCTGTCCTCCTCCCAAGACTTGGTGGGGTGACTGAGGGTGAGGGATGACCAAATGTCAAGTGACAGGCACATAAGGGATAGAACCTGATATATTAAATATTTCTTTCTGGATTACTTTACAGGGTGTAGTTAACTCTACCTGCTCTTTGTCAAGGTCATGGTGCCCACTTGAAGGCTTATGATGGCCTCTACCCAATCCCCAATTGCCAGCTTGATTTATTTGTAATTTATTCATTCCATCAGCTTTCAAAACACTACTTACACTCCCAGTTTAAAGCCTGTCTAGGCTTCCTTGTCTTAGTGCTGTCCTGTCCGCTGACCTCCTACCCGCTCCCAGGAGGTAGGGCAGATCTTGCGAACACAGCCCAGGGCTTCCAGATCCCCCCCAGCTCAGTTTCCTGGCTTTTCATTAAAGGGAAGGTTTTTTCCTCAAGCACAGTTTTAGACCTGCTGTTCTGACTTGGACATTACAGGCTTTTTATTAATGAGCAGCTGTTCACAGTTGAATACAGATCATAAAGTCACATTTGTTTCATCATCAAGCAAAACAAAGCCTTGCAGCTCATTGAGTGACAGTTCTGAACAGATACATGTGAAAACAAAGGATTATCTGATGATAATTTAATAGCTTGTTTGATTTTAGAGAAGTTTGCTTTCTTTCCCTGTAATGCATCTTAATATTCTGAAAATTATCATTTATTTTTTAATATCCATGATCACCACTTAATAGTCAGGCTTGTTTGAGAGAGAAATCAAAAAGTCTGAAGCAACATTTTAATTTCTTTTTTTTATTGAAAAAAAACTAAATTTCCATGAAGCATTTAAATACTTTTTATCATAATATTACTACCACATATCTTCAATTGGTAGTAATTTTTACTGCTAAATATAGGACATCCCCAAACAGGCCTGGGATAGGGATAGGAATGGAGAGTAGTAATGAATGTCTTTTACCAGTGAGGACCAGCAATGCCCTACCTCATGGCTAATGTCCACTTTGCTATTAGAGTTCTAATATAATTCGGCTATATTGTGAGTTAAGTGGTCAATCTGAGCAGGTCTGGCAATTTAAGGCTATTTATTATTTCTAAGGATAAATGTGTTGAGATTTGTACAAACCACATAAAACAATAGTTTATAGCATGAGCTATCTCATGAGTTGAAAATTTTACAATAAAACAACACAGAACCAACATGGGAAACTTAATCCATTCAGCTATAATGTGGTGACATCATGGCTTTTACCTGAAACAAACTTGAATCTCAGTTTCCTTGTCTGCAAAATTTGGTTAGCAATTCTGGCCTTATGGGTTTATTTTACAAAGTGAGTGGTATAATGTATGTGGAAATGTGTTGGAATCAAAGCAAGAACATTGGTGAGAGCTTTTGGGCACACAGGTTTATCACCTTCAAGTCCAGTAGCATCTTCTTTTAGCTACAACAGGGAATAGTGCTTCCAGGAAAAAGAGGTGAGTATTCTCTCATCAGCAACCAGAAATAGACATATTAGTAACACATTTAAGAAGGGAAAGGAGAAATGAACACTAAGCTTTGAAGCTATGCTCTGAATATATGCTGCCACCTCCTTGGCTTTAACGACATGAGCAGGGGAAGCAGTTGTTAGAAAGAAAGCACCTACGACCCAGCCCTTCCCTCTCTGTGCCTTTTTCCCACTACTCCTGGGGTATTTTTCTCATAATAGTGCTATCTGTTGCCAAGTTTCATCCATTCTTCTCAGTGTCCATCATTTTATCACACCAGGATTCTCATAGTGATGTCCTAACTAGTGTTTTATATTTCCGCCCCCTTCCTTTAAATCAGTGTGGTCCTTTGCTGTATGATTAATTTAAATATTTTTAAAATGCAGACTTTTTAATGGTAACGACTCTGCTCAGAATAAAGAGAGACTGCCCTTGTCCACCAGTTCAAATTGACTTGGGAGGATACATGTCTTGACTGCTACTTTTTTTATGTTTGTTACTTATTTCTTTATTTTTAATTATTTTGTTGTTGTTCAATTACAGTTGTCTTTTTACACTCTTCATTTTGAACTGCTGCTCCTGAATCCCCAACTGACCATATCTGTTCCTTTAAAATATCAGACTCATCAGCAATTCTTGTTAAAAGGGTTTGTCCGTATATACTGTACATTTCATATGGTGAAAATTAACTTGCCTCCTCATCATGGAATATATCCTGCTGTATTTTCTTTGAAATTATAGCCTTTAAAAATGAGGATTAAATGTATAACCATACTAGAAATACATGTTATTTTCTCTCTTCCTAGGGAGAAATTGTATCTGTAAAGGATCATCTGCTTAAATACATGAATTACTTTAAAGTAAAACCAAAGGAAAATACCCCTGCCATGTAGCCAGACCCAGTCATAAATATCTTGCCCAAAAGAAATCAATTTTTCTGCTCATAGGCCCTGAACCTTTAAGCATAGCAATCATAGTTAGTTGGAATAGAACTGGGCGTGAATTTTATATAGTACACCTAACTTAAAATGTTAAGTCAAGTCAGGAGAGAGCACAATTTCTGTAATATTTTGGAGGGATTTCTTTCTCTCAGAAAGTGGTGGAGGAAGAGTGTCATTATGTTTCCATCCATTTGTTTACGGAAGCAGTTCATTCAACGCTTGCCCCAGGCACAAGGGCCAGTAACCTAAAGGAACTTCTCAACAAACTCAGCATGTCGTGGGTAAATAAAATTAATGGAAGAACAGTTTTCTCATAGGAGCTTTCTAATCTTGGAACCATCTGATCATAATAACTAGAACAGCGTATTAGGGCCTGCAAGTAAGTTGGCAGGAGGTTTGCAGCTGGTCAGACCGCCCACAAGTATTCAAGCAC